TGTGCTCATGTTTCTTGTGCTTGGGGTTCATTAAGCTTCCTGGATCTGTGGATTTACAGTTTTCATTACATTTGGTAAGATGTTGGCCACTATTTCTTCATTTTTCTGTCTCCCCCTTCTCTCCTTGAGGTACTCAAAGCACACGTATTTTATGTTGCTTGAAGGTTAAGGGCTCACTGATGCTCTGTTCATTTTTAAAAATTCTTTCTCTATGTTTTATTTTGGATAGTTTCTATGGCTGTGCTTTCAAGTTTACCAGTCTTTTCTTCTACAATGTCTAATCTGTTATTATCCCATTCAGTACCTGTTTCATCTTATGTATTGTAGTTTCATCTTCAAAAGTTTAATTTGTGGGCTTTTTATATCTTCCTTGTCTCTACTTAATGTTTTGAACACATGGAATAAAGCTATAATAATATGCCTGCCAAATCTAACATCTGAATGAGTTCTGGGACAGTTTTGATTGATTTTTTCCTCTTCAATATTGGTCATATTTTCTTACCTCTTGCATGTCTGATAATCTTTTATTAGTTATCAGACATTGTAAATTTTCCTTGTTGGGTGCTTGATATTCTTATAAATAATCTTGACCTTAGTTCTGGCATGAAGTCAAGTTACTTAGAATCAAGTTTTTGTTCTTGTTGTTTTGTTTGTTTGTTTTTCCATCAGAGTCTCACTCTGTTGCTCAAGACGGAGTGCAGTGACCAACCATGGCTTAGAAGCAGTTTGATCCTTTTAGGACTTGTGTTTAAGATTTGCTAGACAGGGCCAGTACAGTATTGATTCTAGTACTAATTATTCTCCACTACTGAGACAAGACAGAGTACTCTCCTGGGTGCTCTATCTAATGCCCCATGAGTCATAATATTTTTCAGTCAGCCTGGTAGGAACAGACACCATTCCTGACCTTATGTTGGCACAGGGCACTCTTACTTCTAATCTGTTTTGGTAGCTTTTTAAATTTGGTAGTTTCATCACTTACATGTGCTAATTGGTAGTCAGCTCAATATGCAAGGGGGCACACCTGAATGTCTCCAGTGCCATATCTAGGTCCAGTCTCCCCTTTCCAGCATGCCACCCTGCAAACTTCAGCTACCTTGGACTCTCAGATCCATCTCCTTAGTGAACAGAATTTGTCAGGTTCTGCCTGGGTTCATCCTTCCTGCACCATGGCCTAGACATTATCTTAAGGCAGTAAGCTGGCACAGTCATACAGTTCACTTATTTTCTGTCTCTCTGGGATCCCTGTTCTTCTTTGCTGAATGTGAAGTTGTTATCTTGAAATTATTGTTTCATATAATTTACCTATTTTTGTTATTTTAAGCAGGATAGTACATTTGATCGCTGTTGCTCCATCTTCCTATTGTTATTTTTCTCTTTAATGCTTTGGAAGCTGTACAGCCTTTTAATGATGGTTATCTTTAACTGTTTATAAATCATCTCTAAGTTCACAACGCCTACAGACTGAAGGCAAAAGAGATTTATTAGATTATTTCATTTGCATATGTTGATATTCTAACCCCCAACACAGTGGCATTAGGAGGTGGCAGGTTTGGGAGAAAATTAGGTCAGGAACCTCATGAATGGGTTCAGTGCCCTTATAAGTGCTCTCATTGTCTTTCCACTGTGTGGAAATGCAGGGAGAAGTCAGTAGTCTGCAGCCTGGAGGAAGACCCTCACCAGCACCCAGCCAGGCGGAAGCCCTGGTCTTGGACTTGAGTCTCCAGGACTCTGAGAAATCAACGTTTGATGTTTAAGCCACTCAGTCTGTAGTAATTTGTTAAAGCAGAATGAACCAATGAATACACTTTTAATGTAATTGAACCATATTCTTCTAACAATTTAAAAAATGATTAAGCTAATAAATCTCTTTGGCCAATAAGAAGAAATTTAGCGTGTTTTACCTCCCTACGGCTCCAAATTACTATTTATACAATTATTCCAACAACTACTTTTTAAGCATTTGCATTATTTGTTAAATTAACATTGAAACATTAGCTATACATTTATCTGGTTGAATTGCTCACTAGCTTGTTTGCTTTCATGTCCTTCTCATCCTTAAGTTAGTCACATATATTAATTTTTCCAATTAACTGGGTACATGATTGGCTAATTTTTTTTCAAGTGGGGAAAATTGTATCCTCTTTGCTTGTTTTTTAGAGACAGGCTGGAGTGCAGTGACATGATTCTAGCTCACTGCAGCCTCGAACTCCAGGGCTCAATCCATCCTCCCACCTCAGCCTCTTGAGTGGCTGGGACTACAGGCATGTGCCACCACACCCGGCTATTTATTGATTCATTTATTTTTTGTAGAGATGGGGTCTTGTTATGTTGCCCAGTCTGGCCTTGAAATCTTGGGCTCAAGCAATCCTCCTACCTCAGCCTTCAAAAGTGTGGAGATCATAAGGGTGAGCCACCACACTTGACCTGATCTTTACATGTCTAAGCATATCTTTATGTTCTCCTAATTCGTGATCAGCAATATTTGACTGGCTATTGATTGCCTATGCCTCATTTTTATATGTGACAGTGTTTTTCTTCATTAAAAAAATGTTTTCTTGACTTAAAGGTCTCCCTTTTCATAACTAGCCTATCTTTTCTGATCAATGGAATATTAATAGACAGTTTTTTAGCCTTTCTTTTGCTCCTTGCAGTAATTCAGTGTCACTGAGGACAACGTGCTCTAGTTTCTCAGACTGGTCTTCTTTGAAACTACATCATTACTACCTAGTTTTTCTTCATGCCATGTCTTAACAGAGTGAGATCTCTATCCGGATTAGAGTTGGTCCCTGTCACAGATGTGTGGCGACCTGTGCCAAGCCCCACAATAAAAGATTTCTATTTCTTATGATCAGATTTTGCCAGATGAGCAATCTAGTTATCTGTGTGGTAGTGGTGAAATCCACAGTAACTTGGCTGAAAGTTTCCTTTTTCATATTTATTCGGGTAGCCAGGATTCGCTGGGGCCATGGCACTCCACTCTCCCCCATTCCTCGTTACTTTGGTCTTGCAAACAGATTCCTGACAGGTTTGAACCGGCACTTTGTTCACTGCTCTTGAGACCTGAGTGGCCCCCACCACATTTTCCTGACCCTGCCTCTGCCGTCCTCACTGCTGTCTCCAAGTGGGTGCTGCCTCCACCATGGGTCCTTTCTGCTTCTTCTCCAGGTCAACCTCTCCTTCACATGCGGTGGATTGTGGGTTGGTCGACCCTAGAGTCAGTCACTTCTCTCCTGAACTCAGTAGTCTACCCTTACCCACAGTTTCACTTCCTGTGGCTTGAGTTACCTGTGGCCAATCAGAGTCAAGAAATAGTACATGGAAAGTTCCAGAAATAATCAATTCATAAGCTTTAAACGGCGTGTTGTTCTGAGTGATGTGATGACATCTTTTAGTGTCCCACTGCATCCAGCTCCATCTGCCTGGGACACGAGTCACTCCTCGCCCAATGTATCCATGCTGTCTACACTACCTGTCCATTAGTCATTTAGTAGCCGTCTTGATTATAAGATTGTCATGGTATTGCAAAGCTTGTGTTCAAGTATACTGTCATAATTGGTCTATTTTACTTTTAGTAGTTATTGTTAATAGCTTAGTGTTCCTAATCAATAAATTAAACTTTATCATAGGTATGCATGTATAGGAAAAAAAACACCGTACATATAGGGTTTGGTACTATTTGAGGTTTCAGGCATCCACTGGGAGTCTTGAAACTTATCCCCTGCAGATAAGACAGGACTACAATATATACTCTGGAGAAATTTCTTAACATTTCTAGCAGACAGACAGCACTCTGCTCCCATGTTTGTTTTCTTTAGCCACCACAGTGGACATTTAGGAGGAGAAAGAGGGAAGAATTCGGTTTGTGGGTTTGCACCACCATCTTAAACTGCAGCAAGCTTTATAAAGTGGTGTCAGCATGTAGACTGTTGTCCTTGAACTCCATGCACACAGCTGTGAGAGTACAGAGAAGTCATGTTCCTTACAGGTGGTTTCCTTGGTGACCTCAGTAGAGGAGAAACTGATGACTCCGGGGCAGGTGAGGGCCTGGATTCCTTGTTGCCAGGTTTACCAGAGCTGTGGGAGCTTCAGGACATCCAGATGCAAGAGCAGGAGAGGGGGAGGGGGAGGGGGCTCTGCCCTTGGACGGTCTTCTTTAAAACTGCATCGTTACCATATTATTTGGGCGTGGGTTGCATGGGGGAAATCGATCTGGGAGTGATGACTGAAACAGTTTTTGTGCTCAGGGCGCTTGGCAGTGAGTCAAGAGCAAGGGCTTGGTTATCTAGGAGACCCTGGTTTGAATTTGAATATGAACTTCACCGTGTATGGGCCTCTGGCCCCAGAAAAGCCTCCTTGCTTCAGAGCCTGTTTCCTCATCCATAGAGTGGGTAGTAATAATGGAACCACCCTCTGGGTTTTGTGGGGATTTGATGAAGTGCTGTGCATGATTTGCTTGACAGCTCCGGGCACGTGATGCCTGAGGAACACTGAGCTTCCAAGTTTCTGAGTAAAGAAGAGCTGGGTGGGGCCAAATGGGCTCTTCTCTCTCTTCCTTTCTCCCTGCCTAGTTTCTCCACTCCCCTTTCAGCCTTTGGGGCAACTTTCTAGCTCTCCCCAGCCCTCTAATTTTGACCGAGCGCCCCTTTCCATTCTGACCTGCAAACCTGCCGCTGCTGCTCTCCCACAGGGTCATCCATGCGTTCGTTTTTGCAACGCACCTCCCCTATCCCAGCCCACCTAAATCCATCCTCCCCTACAGAGCTGTTTCCCAGTCCACATGGCCTTTTCCTTCTCCGGGGATTGTAGTATTTTATAACCTCCCTTCCCAAGTCAGAAATCAGTTGTACACATGTTCAGCTTTCCCCATGTGAGAAGTGGGGTCGAGGGTAACAGTTTCTTGTGTGGCCAATGTTTCCACAAATGGGTCCCCTTTCTGACTTCTGCTCTGCAGGGAGCCAGGAGACCAGAGGAGCCGACAGAGATGGGTGACACACACATACCAGGAAGCCAAGCACATTAGATTTACTAGGGCAATATCTGCAGGTGAGATAACAGCTCATACATACAGAAATCCACGGTCAGAGATATCACCCCGGCAACACAGTCAGACACCAAAGCAGCAGAAGGGCTCAGGAAGTGGCTTTGGAAAGTTCTCGTGAAAATCAAAGGGCAGCTTTGGTGCTCAGAGATTCAAACAGAAAACTATACAAAACCAACCCATAAATATATATATATATTATATATGTGTATATATATATAAAATTGCAAAATAAAAGCCCAAGAAACTAACCATCAATCTGCACATCAGTGGCTCAAAAAGGGTTCGCCTAGAGAAAGGCAAAAAACCATTGGTGGGGGTGATGCATACTCCAGGGGGCCGGCATTTCAGCAGCAGAAAGAGTATTTACATGGAACCCCTACTTGAAACCTCACAATACTAGGAAAAGCTCAACACAGACAATGTATGTACAGGGGAAGACAGTAAGTAGTACTCTCGCGTGACGATTGTCAGACACAGACATTTCACTGAAACCATCCATAGCTTTAGAGAACACTGCACTCTCTATCTAGACTGGGTTCCTGCTACCCTGCGCCCCAACCAGGCGCTCTCAGACTCTGGACGTATGTTCTCCCCCACCTCACCTCTTCCCTGGAGAGGCGAATACTGGAAAGCTGGTTGGAGACTGTAAGAATTTAAAGGCGGGGTGGTCCTCGGGTGTCAAACAATCACCCACAAAGCAAGACTAATGGCATGAGGTGGCGTGGAAATGTGGGGGTGGGCTTTCCTGCAATACATTTCCATTTTATAAGGGGCTTCAATGGATTTCAAGTGTGGTCCCTCTGTCCTTGATCCAACTGCCATCCTCCTTCTGCTTCACTTTAAAAGGGAAGCTCTGGCCTTTGGGCTTTTCAACGTTATGCAGGATGATCTGCTGAGGTGAGAAGAATTGAGGGTCATTCTACAGTTATCCTCCCACTTACCCCCAAAGCTCTTATGACATTTTCTTTACACCACCTGGAAAAAAGAGATTTGTCACATCGCAGCTGGCCTCCTCCTGATGCTTGGGAAACAGTGGAGGAGAAAGGGCCCGAGGATCCGACTCTAACTCCAGGGACCTTCTCACGATGGGGTTTGGACTTCAGCTCTGACTGAATCCCTCCCCTGCATCAATAGTGAGCATTATCTCCCCCATCTTCAGGCTCCAATTTCTCATGGCGATGGCCCAGCTTTTGGGAAAACCTTGAAGGCAAGTGGCACCACACATCAATATGGTAGCATCTCATAATCACCTAAGTATGAACGAATGCAAACCACTGTTTCTGCATTGTTAAGAAAACTCCCAACTGGAGATTCTTTCTAACTGTTCCTGAGAAGCCTACATTCTCAAGGGAACTGTCTACATAAAAATGATGAAAGGTGCTTTCTCCACTAGAGGACACCCTGCCTGAAATCCTCACAGTGGGTCCTGGGTGAGCGCGGCTTCTCGCTGCGAAAGGCAGAAGAGTGTTGAGCATGCCTTGGTGACCAAGCCCTGCACGTGGCCTCTCATTTCATACAAAAAGTGTGCCGCATCCAAACTGACAGGTTGGTTCCACAGGGCCTTGGGAAATGATTACACGACCATGTGTGCTCCGTCGATTGTGGCACAAGTGGAAATGTGCACAAATGATAACCAGCGTGCATATCTCACAAGCTTAGAGTCACTGCAGACTCTACTTCTCGCATTAAATTATCCCTTTTAGAACAGATGTGGCACAGATGATATGATGCCCCATGAGGTTCTGAATTGTGGGGTGCTCTGTCCTTTTGGCAGGAGCAGAGATCATAGATTTATCTTCTCCTTCATTTCTTCTCAGACTCTGAATATTACAGCTGGGCTCAAGTGGTGAGAGAGGAGTTTAGAGGACCTGTTTTCTCTACACTCAGAGTGCACTGCAACTACACCAACCAACTCAAGGGTTTCCACTGAGGTGTAACATGAGTAAGGGCTAAATGCTCTTTCATTTGTTCAGCCATCAAGAACTGATTACTCTTGGCCTGGAACTAGAACATAAAATTCACACTTAAGAAAAAACATGGAATGCAGGCCTATGGTAGGCTGTGTCTATCTGTCCCTATGTATACCTTCTTGGAAAAATCCACACTTTTAGACTTTCAGAGGTGAGCCGCGCTGTTGAGTGCATGGTTCTTTCAAATTCATGACAACCAAAGAGGTGACTGTATAGCATCTCTCCTCCTGTTGGCAAGAGCGGTAGCCCTCTGCTATGACAGTGCTGAACAACATCTGAATGTCTGTCTTGCAACATACCCATGAGCGAGTGACAGTGTTATGCACAAGAAATGGGATTCAAGGCTCAGTTTACATGAGTCAGTGGCACAGGGCAGTGACTTACAGTGGAATTCTTACTGCAAGAACTTACTGCTTTTCCCCCCAAAACCCCAGTCCTTTAAAAATAACATCTGCTCACAGAGGAAGAGCCTTATTTTAGTTATAAAACAGTGGAGGGAAGTCAACTGGCCAAAATAGGACCCTTCTTGGGTCACCTGCAAGACAAGAAGCTCTCATGGAACCTAGACCTGGGCTACAGGGGTGTCTCTTGGCAGTGCTTCTTGTAGTTTGGGGAAAGGTCATGTGGCATGGATAGTTTTCCCACACCACTACTGGGTGCTAGCCATAGGGAGTCATTGAGTCATCAGAGCCAAGCCTGTCTCTCTTAAACATTTGTCCGTCTCCCCTGCCCCTTCCCCCACCTTCTGGTGAAAATAGGCTCAGAAACCTCTCCATTCCCCAGCTCAGTCAGCACATTGGTTCAAATCTTACCCCCTTTCTTTGGCAGCTCCAAGCACAGTGGCTCAACTAGAAATGAACACACTGCCTACCAAGTCTTGAATACACATTTTTCCCAGTCAAATACTGGTCAAAGCTTTCAGCCAACTTTTATACAGAGACAAAGAAGATTCCCTTTCCTTTTACCGGCCAAGCCGTGGTTTTGTTTGGGCCACGTGTCTATTTCTGTAGCCTTTGGTACACATCCTCCAGCCTTGAGTTGAGCACGCCACATTCTGCACGCACACGGGAAGAAGAAAATGGCAGAAGGACGCCAAGCTTTCCTGGTAATACTACACCAAGACAAAATAGAATCGGAAACTTTAGATCTCTGAGTGTTTCCCTCTCCTTGTTGAAAATCTCTCTGAAGGTGCTTTATCCAAAGAATTTTATGGAAATGAATTTTCTGCTGAAAACTATTTACTATAGAGGAAAACAGAGCACGAGGCAGGCCGTCAAACATGTTTTAGTATCGACGTTTCAGAAAGGCCCACCACCCACACCCCTCCATTCTCCCTTCAGCCACCAAAGGGATTTTCCTAAAATGCAAGTCTGACCATGACTCGACTCTGATTAAAGTTCTCAGTTCCAAACCCCTTCTGTGATAAGTCTAGCTCCTTCACACTTTCTACAAGTTTTCTTGTGCCCAGCCCTACTTCTCTGGGAAGTGAATGGCCTCCGACACACACGCTTTGCACTTCATGCTCTGGCAATCCTGCCTGGCTCAGTGGAAGCCCCGGTGGCGTCTTCTGCTTCCACACCTTTTGCACACATTCTTCCCTCACCCTGTCAACTCTTTTGCTCTCCTGGAAAATTCCTCGTCCGGGAAAACCCAACAGCCATTGCTCCTTTCAGGAAAATTTCTCTGGCCCCCAAGACAGCTAATCATTGCATCCTTATGCCACCTTGGTGCACTTGCCTGTTTTGGAATTTGTCTACACACCGATGCTCATGAGCTTCTTGAGGGCAGAAACTCTGCCTACTCTCATGCCTGGCCCTTGACCGGAGCTCAGTGTGTGCTTCTAGAATATATGGGGAAGGAACTAATGAATAAGCAGGAGGTGCACCCATGGCATAAATCCAAGGATGACACTGCAGCAAGGCTCCGTTTTCTCCTAAGTGATGCCTCACTGTTGTAAAGGGAATAAAGAGAACATGCTGAGTGCAAAGTCAGTCAACATCATCTGTGAACCACAACCACTCATACACGGAAGCCTGCGTCAGAGGTCATGTCCACCCTTCTCCCAACATTGTTTGCCACTTACTATTCTAGTCACAATGACTGCTCTCTTTTAGTGTCAGCATAATGCCTGATGCTAAGTGGGTGTTTAACAAACACTGTGAAAAGATGAATGAGTAAATATGAAATCTACCCTTTTAAAAGACTTTTAAAGGCATTTCTCATATGACAGATTTATCTGAGGCACTGGTGCCCCTGACTGTTGGATTGTCCGTCCTAAGACTTGACCCAATTAGGAAGTAGAAGAGAGACGGGGTCTGGGGTAGCAGTGAGGAACCTGCACTAAAGACATGGTCATGAATTGTGCCCCACATATTTAAAAGAAAAAATAAAAGGTAAGACATAGTAATGGGTGTACCTTGGCCACATGTCAGTTTCCTTCCTTCTCAAGAAATAGCCAACGATGGATTGTATTTTCTGTCCCAGTCAAAAGGCTCTTGCCACTCCTTTGTCAGAGGCACACAATAGCTTCGCCTCAGAGCAGTTAACCAGGGGCTTCACATGCACTGACGAGGGTGAACACAGTAGTTTCCTACCCTCATCTCAAGCGCTAACATTATACAATGGAGACAAGTCATAGGGATAGTCTTAAACTAAAACCACCATCCTTGGGGATTAAAGTTGTCCATTCGCCATAGCTGTTAACATCAAGGGCTCTGGACTCAGACTGACCTGGGTTCAAATCCAGCCTCCAGATCTTCCTAGCTACATCATCTAGGACAACTCCATCATCTTTTTTGGGATTCACTTTCCTCCTCCATAAAATGAGAATGACCTTTCCCACTTCACAGATTGTTATGAGGGTTAAAGGATATTGTGTATGTGAAGCCTGCACAATGTCTATAGATAGTCCGTGCTCAAAAATGGAAAACTATGATGAACAACTTTCAAAAATACTTTTACAATAATCAGGACAAAGGGAAAAATATTCTTTGAAGACACTGTGCTTTAAAGAGAACGGATTGTCTAACTTTTAGGATTCAACAATGCTCATTAATCAATGTCCCATGGAAGAACATGAGAAGGTAGTGTTGGCATTTAAAACAATAGCTGTGGCTATTACAAGGCCCAGGATGGACAGACAGGGACAGGGCTGGGGACATCCAAGCATTTCTCTGAGTGTTGGTGCAAGAGGATTCATCCTGAAGGGCTCATCTCTGATTCTCCACTACTGGACCCAGATTGACTCAGAGTTGGAACCCCAGAGAGGCCAAGTTCAAGGTGCCAAGAGTAAGTTGCCAGTTTTGGTCTTTGAACAAGTGCTTCTGGGTGTGAGGGAAGGTTGGGGGACACCTGACCGATAGACCAGAGTGAGGCAGGTACAGCACATTGCTCCACGTGTCATGCAAAGCTAGGAAGCCATAGCATTTCCCATGTGGTTTTGATCCTCCTTGTACAACCCAAAGCCAACAGAGGATTTAAATTTCCCCAAAAGCATGAGACAACTTTATCCTAATGCTAAATTTGGTTTTAGTTTTGAAGCGCCCAAGATGCACCATCCAAAGGGGTCAAGTTCCTGGCTTCTTAAATTGATGAAACCACCCCCAGTCCTCAGCTTACTTGACGTGCCCTTATGTCTGTCACCTCTTACAGCTCTTCCATCCATCACTCAAGAGGTTCCATGAAGAAAGCTCAGGGTTAGTATCTGGGGAAGTACAAGCTAAGCCATCAGCCCTTGGGAACAAAGATTAATTTCTACTGGAGGGAATGGGTCAATTTGTCTGGTTACTTTGAGCAGCAGGGCAGGGATCCAAAATGGAAAAGAGAAGAGATTTTTAAATGCAGAGATAGCTCCATCAGCAGGAGATTGGGTTCCTGCAAAGAAATGGACCTTACTCGGGGAAGCCGTGACCTGTTTGATTTAGTCTGAGCCTGTCAGAGCTCATGGCCCATTTGTGGCCTTCCTGGGTCCTGGGCTCAGATTGGTGGGCAGCATCCTAACAAAGAGGGCCCATGACTAGGCAGTGTCAGGTAGCGGAAAGAGCACTGAACTGGAAGTCAGGAGACCTGAATTCTAGTGCAGGCTCTGCTGCTAATTAGCTGTGTGACAGGGCAAATCACCTGACTTCTCTGGGGCAACTGTAAAATGAGAAGTGGACCGGGCCATCTCCAAGGTCCCTCTCCGAGTACGACCCAGGTTGCTATGCTATCCCTTGTTGGCCCTATGCTTGCAGGGACAGAGATGGGAGAAGGGAAGGGGAGGAGCGAGAGGAGGCAGAAGGAAGCCCAGGGGTGCCAGGGATCAGGACTCCACTTTCTCCTTCTTTTTGCTCTTTTTCAGGAAGGAGGGGGTTCGGAATTTCTTCTTCTTCTTTGAGGGAGACTTGGAGGGTGAGCCCTCTGGGGACAGGGGGCCGCTGGTGACCGACTCAGTTTTGTCCTTAGAGGTATCAACATCCGTGTCAGCATTGGTGGTCATTTGGCTCATGCCTTTGCTGAGGATTTCCTCTGCAGTCTGCTCCTCCTCCTTCCCGTTGACCACCACTCCTTCTGGCGGGGTTGCTTTGGGCTCTGTGGTGGCTTTGCTTGTTTCTGTCTTCTTAGCACCTTCTAGGACAAGATCAAAAGACACGACCAGTAAGATTTCATTCTGGTGAGAGTTTCCACCCTAGGCTAACAGTTCTATGCAGTTCTAGCAAGTAAGTCCAGAGTGATGGGAGGGGCAGCCTGACACAGGGAGAGGGGTGGAGCAGGGCTCTCGGGGACAGATGGAAGGACCGGGTTCTCATCCAGACTACACCCCCTTCCACGTGGCCTGCCCTGGAACATGCCCTTGGTAGGCTGGAAACTCTGGGCTCCTGTCTCTGAATTTAGACAGATACTGATGTCTGAACATGGCTAGGGCCCAGCTGAGGTCCAGCTCAGAGCTTTTCTAGGCAGCGGGAGGGGGAGCTGGGGGAGGAGAACAGACACGAGGAGGACAGAGGCTGTTGGAAGGGGGGGTGCATTGTGTACATCTCGGTGGAGTCATCTAAGGATTGTAACTGGTTCGGTTACACCAATACAAACATAGAAATTACATTCTCTGCACCACTGAGGAACTTTGGGGAAAATGGAGAGTGTCTTTGCAGCAGGCAGAGGAACAGTGGAACTCTCTGAGTGACAGGGACCCTGTCTTTCCAAGACGTAAGTGCTACCCAAAAGTGCTACCCTGGTTAGCCCATTCTAGTGACCCTCCAGCCCTCAGGCCTTTATTCTGCCTCAGAACCTGTTGGGATGGTTCCCATGTTCAAGGCCAGAGCCACTCAGGCCCCAGAAACTTACCTCTCCTGTCACTCTTTCTCCCTCTCTTGGTTTTCATCCCACTCTGCTTCCATGCAAGCTTTGAAATGCCCAGATTTGGGGGAATTGTAAAGCCCCGGACTTTGAAAGCAACGCAAAGATCATCTGGCTTACCTCCACCCCATGGGAAGAGTGGGCAGGATTCTGTTTATTGGCTTCTAGTTCATGTTCTTTTCACCACATGAACTGACAGAAGTGTGAGTGTGTGAGTGAGTGTATGCAAGTGAATGTGTGAGTGTGTGTGTGTGTGTGTGTGTGTGTGTGTGTGTGTGTCTCTGCGGTATGAGTGTGTGGTATGTGAGTGTGTGAGCATATGCCAGCGAGTGAGTAGATGACATGAGTGTGAGTATATGAATGTGGGCATGAATGTGAATGTGTGTGTGACACACATGTGTGGTGTGTGCCATGAGTGTGTGTGAGTGAGCATTATGTATGACACATGTATAAGTGAGTGTGAGAATGCATATGTGGTGTGAATATGAGTGAGTGTGTGAGCCAGCATGAGTGAGAGTGTATGACACATGTACAAGTGTAATAGTGTGTATGTGTGTGTGTATGTGTGTGTGTTGCGTGAGCAAGTCCAAGTGCAGTATGTGTGTTGCCACACCACAGGAAGAAACTCTGGCACGCTCAGCTACATGGGAATGTGGGTGATGGGGAAAGGTATAACCAGTGTTACAGAAGGAGGGGGTGGAGAACTAAGTTTTAGGAAAAATCCAGGGGTCTTGACAGGAGTAAAGTCTAGGAAAATGATAGCTATGTGGAGGATGGGACAGAGGGGAGAAAGTTTGGGGACAGTTAGAATGGACTACTTGAACTCCCTGGGCAAGATCTCTGCATCACGAGGCCTTTCACAACTTGTGAAACTAGCTGGGCACTCAGCGTCTTCTCCCAGCCAGTACTACTGGAGTAGCACCTCCCTCTAGGACTTAAAGATGTGGGCCACCAGCCCCCACTCTTCCCACTGCCCAGGCCATGCCCTGTCGTCATCCAGCTACCCAGTTCTCCTATGTCCTTGACTCCTGCAGCCCCTGCTCCAGTCCCCTGACCTCCTGCCATGTGGTCCTGTGGCCATCATCTGGCAATATTCTTGAGTGCCAAGGGTAGAGCTTGAAAAAATGTGTCCTAATGTGTCACCCAAGTGAGGGACCTGAAGTGAGGGTCTGGGTTGAAGCTATAGAGCCATGGAAGGACCAGGCAGTACAGAAGACAAAGGCCAACACTCAGGGGTAGTGCTTGTTCACATGGATGGGTCCAGTTGAGCTTAGAAGGCTCAGGCTGGGATAAACAAGAAAGAAGATGTGGTGATGGTATTGGCTTGGTTGGAATAAATCCATTCACACATTCGTTTGCTCATGCCTTTGACCATTCATGGATTCCACTAACATTTTCTGAATCCCTTCTATGAGCTAGTTACATAATTAACTAGGCACAGTCTCGCCCTAATTTATTTTAGTTTAGAGGGAGGAAGAGATAGGCATAAAAACCAAGTGATAGTTTCACAGTTGCTATGATGGAAGTTCATATAATGGAGGCAAAAAGGACGGAGTGATCATTTCCACCTGGAATTGGGAATAGGGATCAGGAAAGATTTTAAGGAAGAAGTAACACTCAGACCTATTTGTTGTCTGAGGTGAAGGTTGGAGACACAGAGGGGTGAACAAAGGGCCTTCCAGGCAGAGAGAAACAGGCTGGAGTGACAGGGAGGGGCCTGGGAACCAGAAGGTGGATGGGCAGATAGCAGGTGAAGCGGGAAGAGGAGAGTGGGCAGAAATACAGTTGGGTACTTGCCTTCTAGTCTAGGAACACAACCGTGCATAAGAGGGGCTTTCATCTTCTATCTGAGTGGCATTTCCTGCCTGGTGGTGAAGAGTATCCTCACTCCAACAGCTCCTTCATTCATGCCCCTCATCCAAGCCCCTTTGCCCTGCTGCCAACCTAACCTACAGCCTCAGCCCCTGGTGTGTGTCTTGGTTTAAGAAAGCAACACTCAGGAGTCTTCTCACCACCTAGAAAATGAGGGCCACACCCAATGAACCCACAATAATCTCAGAGAGCTCCCACATCATGAACTGTTTGGGGAGTCACGGCAAATAGAAAGTGTGGCTTGGAGGAGTCAGGTTCCAAATTGAGGTCACCATTCCCTCAACTATAGGGACAGAAACTGCCGGACAGTTCTACTGACTAAGAGAAGGGGCAGAGCTCCAGAAATAAATATGTCCTGGGCCCCTGAAAAGTATTGAGAACTGGCTCTGAAAGCTTAGATCCTCCTGTGTTAACAGCTGGCAGGGGCCCCAGGAACTAGGGGAAGATGGGAGCTCACCTTACAGCATCCTCCAAGAAGAACCACTGGCTTTCTCTCTAGAGTAGAGCACTTGGAGCTCTAGGAATAGGGGATAGTGGGAGTAGGCAGAGTTGGGCAGAGGCTGGAAACTGGGGGATTCTGTCCAAGGATGGTGACCAGGAAGCTGGAGAAGAGAGAGGAGGTATCGGGAGAGCCGGTGATTGGGAGTAAGACTGGACTTCGACTCAGGGACCACACCCAGACTCCTGTGGGTTGGCAGACGAAGGGCTGAAAGACCCCCAGAGGCTGGAAAAGGAGGAGAGGCTCTGTAGGGAGGTTCAGAGCTGGTTGGATACTCTGCCTCCAACCTGATCTCTCACTATCCCACAACCTCCAATCACTCAGGTTGCCTCTTGGCCACTGATGTGGCTAAGATAGTTAATTTTTAAATTTTTTATTTTATTTTAGAGATGTGGGGTACAATTCAGGATTAGGTATGGAAGTGGTTATTGTACAGGTAATGTTTGGGCCTACTTTTGGTCCCTACTTTGCCTGGTTTGAGATCAGCTACCCTTATTAATATTATGTGCCTACCCCACCCCCAGCCGGCAGTTTCCGACTACTACAATCCCTTAGTTATAGTATTATGGTAAATATTCAAGGTCTACTTATGAGTGAGAACATATGGTACTCAGTTCTTTGTTTCTGTGATAAATCACTGAGTATGATAGAAGGATAGTTAATTTATGTGTCAACTTGATTGGATTAAGGGATGCCCAGATAGCCAGCAAAACATTATTTCTGGGTGCGTCTGTGAGGGTGCTTTTGGAAGAGATTAGCATTTGAATTAGTAGAGTGAATAAAGATCTTCCTTTATCAGCATGGTTGGGTACCATCCAACCCACGGAGTGCCTGCTCAGATAGAACAAAAATGTAGAGGAAGAGCAAGTTCTCTCCCTCTTGAGCTGGAACATCTTATCTGCCCTCAGACATCAGAGTTCCTGCTTCCTAGGCCTTCAGACTCAAACTGCACCACTGGCTTTCCTGTTCCTCAGTTTAGAGACAATAATAAATCATGGGACTTTTTGGCTTCCATAATCACGCAAGGCAATTCCCCTAATAAATCTCCCCTCATCTCTCTCTCTGTCCTATTGGTTCTGTTTCTCTGGAGAACCCTAATACAGTCCCCTTCCAGGAATGCCCACTTCCCCAGCCTTCTGGCTACCACCTCTGCACAGCCCATTCCACTCCCGTCTGCTGATTCAAGTACGTATCTCCCCAAGGTCTGAGTCAAGCCATACTTTATCTTTGCTTCTCCCCCTGACATTGGAGAATGATCTTGCCCCCGCCCCAAACCTACTGCTCATATATTCATTTTACATGTATGTGTCATTTATCTTTTTTTCTTTAAAGAGTCCATTCATCACCCAGGCAGACTGCTAAGGACAGAAACTCTGCCTTTTTTCCTCTCTGACAGCCACCCCCCAGCTCTGTGACAGTGTGCTCGAGCTGTTTATGACTGCTGACTTTTGCCAAGTGAGGCCAGATGAAGGTTCAACAGAGGAGGCCATGCTTCCGCTCAGCAGCTGGGCTCTTCTGTGTTAGTGCACTGGGGTGAGAATGTGGGGAAGGAATATGGACCTTGCCTAATTCAAGAAGGAAGACTGCCTTTCCTCCCCTAGCCTGCTAACATCTCAGGGTCAAACATATGACCTCTAGCCCCAGACCCACAGCTTAGAGAGCCCTTCTCTCTGCGGCATGGAGGACACCAGTGGAGGGCTGAGAAACAGGATTTACTGACTTTCTTCTGAACACAAGGTCAACCAGACTGATTACGACATATTCCAAATGCATGAAGAATTGGTCACTGCCATGTACTGCTTTTACTTCCCTGTTGAAAAGGCAACTCCACACCATTGCACAGAGAAGCTATAGAAAGTTTCATTAAATACCTTGGGGGAAAAATGTGCCCTATACTAACACAGGGGCTGGGCACTCAGGCAGCAACACTCAGACAGGCCCACAAGGTTCCAGAAGAACAGAGGAGTGGGGACAGAAAACTAGCAAACAGAACTGCATCATGGCTGATCAGTGAGCTGGACGCTGGCCATGCAGAGAATTTGCCACAGAGTTTCTGTCTTGATTTTAATTCTCAAACGTCAGTGTTGGAAAAAACTTATTCAGAAAGCTTGTGAAAATGCAGCTTCCTGTCTTGTCCCTAAAATAGACTTTGAAACAAAAGGTGGGTCAAGAAATCGATAGTTTTTTAACAAGTCCCCAGTAATTCTGATACAAAAGGCCCGTTGGCCACACACTGGGAAGCATGGGTTTAGAATGATATTTCCTCCCACCTTTCCCTCCTCCAAGGATGGAGAGAGCAACACTGACAGGAAAGTGGAGTGTCTTGTGAATGGATGCTGTAGACTCTAACTCCCACTCACTCATAGCTGGGCTATCAAGGTTCCCCTGAGCACCCAAATATACTTTCAGGGTATAGTACAGCTGGTGTGCAAAGATGGCCCCAATGAGTCAGGTCTCCAGGTAGTCACATGCTAGCATTAATTCCCTCCCATACTACATCTGGACTGGCCCTGTGGCTAGATATAGCCAACGGAATGCAGAGGGAGTGCCACAGAGACAGCCTCAGACTTCAGAAAGTCTAACAACTTCTGTTTTTACAATCTGGGGAGACCTAGACTACCATGTATAGAATCCAACCACCCTGATGGAAACACAAGTGGAGAAGCCCACAGCCTAGAAGGGGTCATGGATTCTTCAGAGGTGGCTGTGCATTAGGAGCAGGGATGGTGTGACTCCTGAGGGCCATAAGCACTCTACCACAAGGAGTGCCCAAGCGCTGCCCCACTGCCCACTCACTCTAGGCACTTGTTGCCTCTGGGCATGTGTGCTCTGTGTGTTAGTGTGTGTATGTATGCGCATGCACCATATGTATGTCCATGCATAGTGCATGTGAAATTGGTCATGAGTTTCACAGCCGGGAAACCTCCTGAAGGCGGGATTGTGAGTTGCAAAAGAAAAACTTGGGGGGAAATATACTTCTTTGGAAAAAATCCTCCCTCCCCCATTGCAAGTGTTGGAGTGAGTTAGTAAACAGCCTCTCTATACTTACTACAGAGACAAGTATTCAGAATCGGAGGAAACTCCTTTGATGAAGGCACAAATGGGAAGAGAAAGGAAGACATTGTGGAGACAGGTTGACAACACCACGATGAGACACAATGAATACACACAGTTGGGGGACATCCACTTGGGGCTCTGGCCGCAAGCAGATGAGTTTCCTCTGGCAATGCTGGGCTGCCCTTGAGGCAGTGAGCAGCTTATGAAGGGAGATCAGGATTGGGGGATTCCATTGGCTCTCACGTATGTGACTGTTCTACTCAGGAGGAAGAAGACTCCAACAGTTTGCTGCTCTCTAGATGGCAGTACAGTCTTCTGTGGGGTGTTGGGGTTCTCTGGAGGACCCAGGTGGGGTGTGTTCATGCCCTGGAGTGATTCCAGGAGCCCACTAAAGACACCTTGAATAATTTAGGTGGCTAGACACTATAAGTATTATCCACTATGTATGTATTCTTAATCGTAACCATAATTAGAATGTACATTTAAATCATGCTTTTACTCTTTCAAAGTATGTCTGCACCTATATTTCCTTTACACATAAATTTAAAAGGGGAAAGGATTAGCAGCCCCATTTGACAGATAAGGAAACTGAGGCACAGAGAGGTTATCTGATTTGTTAAAATTAGCAGTTATTATTAGTTAGCAGTTCAGCCGAGCCTAGAATGCAGTTCTTTAAACTACTATCTCTCTACTGAAGCTGTTCCTGACCTAGACTACACTTTAGATTCCCCTAGAAAGATCTTAAAACTCCAGGCTGTACTCAACACCCACCCACTCCAGACCATTTAACCCAGAAATACTGGGGGTGGGATCCAGGCAGCAGGATTTGTAAAGCTTCCCAGGTGATTCCAATGTGCAGTTAAGGTTGAGAATGACATCATTAGCATCACCTGGAAAATGCAGGGCTCTCAGGCTCCATCCCAAATGTAATGGATCAAAATCTTCATTTTAACTAGATCCCCAGGTGGTCCCCATGCACATTAAAGTCAGAGAAACTGGGCTAGTGCATCTGGAAAGGCTCATCAGCCCCACCCATGTCTGAGTCAGAGGTGAGGAGGCTGTGGTCAATTACTAACTTGTTCATCACTGCTTACACTGGGCTTCAGCTGTAAGGTGGAGTGTCAGAGCTTGTGCATGAACCAAGTTGATACCAATTTGGTAACCCCTATTTCAGATCCCCTAACTGCTGGAGGGGGAAGCTTTTGGATAGGGGCAACAACTGTGGAAGGCATGGTACCTGCCGCGTGCATACCTGCCCTGCTTCCGTGCAGACACTTCTCAGCCTGTGGATGCACCTCCCTCCCTCCCAGCCTGCTCAGTATGACTCACCCTCTGAAGACCTGGAAGGAGAGACCACGGGGCTTTTCGTCTCTGCCTCCTTCGCTGGGCTCTGCACTGGAGAAGCAGGTGCAGACTTTGCAGGTGAGCCAGGCTCCTCTGTGGTTGTTTCTTTCTCTCCTGAAAACAGAGAAAACCACCTCAGGATAGAGGTCAAAAGCGGAGGGATGGGGAGAGAGAGAGCAAGAGAGAGAGACAGACACTGAGAATTGTAAAAATTGCTTTTTTCTACTTGGTCATCATTTCTCCCCCCTGGTAATGAACCTTCTAGCTGATGTTAGCTGCTTTTCCTAACCTTTTAAAAAATTTCTGCTACTTCCTCAGGGAGGCCAAAGGAGAAATCAGTCATGTTGTTTCCTTCATCAAAGCACATCTACCATTGTGCTACCCTGGATGTGGATGGCAAGAATGCAGAATTCCCATATGGCCAGACCAAAGCCTGGCTCTGGCCCTTGTCCCGCCTGAGGAGGACCAGCCAGGTGCTTTATGAGCACATAAACAGGCAAGAGACGGATCCATGAAGGACTGCTAACTCACCTTAAAAACACCCATGATTTGCTTGCATGTAGCTCATTTATTATTTATCTAACTTACATTTTCTGTCCAAATAGTCCCTAGGGATGAAAAGCACTATGTTTTCCTATCTACTTTTCCAATGGGCACATTAGAACTCCACACACACCAACAAAGATTTTTCTAGTGCCGGCTTTGTGCCCAGGAAGATGGCCGACCCTGGATGGGGTGGGATGATGGTGGAAGAAGACTCAACCCTGAGGGAATGACAGCCTAGCATGGTGGACATGACCAAACGCTGAATTATGTGTCTCTGACCTCAAGTGCTCTTGAAGCAAAGAGAAGAGACAGCTTATTGGGGTGGAGTGGAGAGGGTGGCAAGGAAGCCTTCCTAGCTGCAGAGATGTTTGAGGCGGAGTCTGAAGTGTTGATGATTTGGGATTAGGCTAGCCAAGAATAGAACCATGCCAGGAAGGAACAAAGGCATGGATAAGGGCGTAAAGTTATGGTGAGTATGAATGGTTGGGAAGCAACATGGAAAGATGGGTTTGACTAGAGCTTCTGAAATAAAGGAGTGAGAAAAATACATAAAAATGTTAGCTGGTGGAGAGCTTTGACTGCCCAGCTAAAAGGTTTGTACCAGACCTGATAGAAAATAATAATTATGATGATTATAATGATCATATCATAGCTACCATTTATTTGGTGTTTGCTGATCAAGGCCATATTTATAGGCCCTACTCTAAGCATTTTACAGCTATTAACTCCTTTATGCCCAGATGGGAGGGTCAAGTGAGGTCATGAAGGCACTGTGTAACCATTAGGCACAGAGCAATGGTGGGGGGGGCATGATTGTAATTGCGGTAGTAAGAAGACTCTTTGGTGATGAGGCAGGAAGATCCTCTCTGCGTGGTCCTGAGGACTCCCCTCCACCCTGGGGGATTTGAAGCAGTGATGCCTCGGGGTCATTTACCATCGAGTTCTAGTTTCTTCCTCTCCACCTCTTTCTTGTATTCCTCCAGCTCCTGGTCAGTGAGTTGGCTGAAGGGGTTGGGCACCGTCTCCTCTGAATCGTCTTTGGTATCCGCGTCGCCCTTGGACATCAGCTGGCTCTCTGTAGACTGAAAGTTAACCACAGAGTGTGTGTCGCTCTCTGAATGCCGCAGCTGGGGCACAGGCCCCAGCTTCCTTTCAGACTCAGGTGGCAACAGTGGTCTTGCTAGGGAGAGCATGGCATGCAGCAACTTGGAAAAAAGCTCAGGGCCTAGGGGCAGGGGTTGCTCATTCCTCCCCACTGCTATCTCACCCTTAGACCCAGATTTTGCAACTGCCTGGGTGAATACAGGGAGTCCACACTCAGCCCCTGAAATAAAAGCAAAGGATGCTCCCAAGCGGAAGGAAGACACACCTTTATTGCAATCCCTTCTATGGACACTTCCAAGCCATCACTATGCAAATACAGTTCGTGGCCCAAAGTCAGTCAGCCAAAGCCCAGCAAGCACAGCGTTGGCTCAAGCAAGCTTCATGCCAGCCATTCCCTACCACTGCCCCCCACCCCCCACAACAGTAGTGCAAGCCACAACACACAGCATTAAATCATATGCAAAACACACAGTGGCTTCTGCATTCTCAGTCCGAACTGTTAGTCTTATTTTGTACACAGTCATAAGTTACAGCAGGCCCAAGTTCCTGAGTCTCGGATCTTCAACCTGCCTGTACTGCAGGTCCCTGCAGGGATACTGGCAAAATTACTGTGTTTCACCACCTCTGTGGAGACCCTGGCTCTGGGAAGCTGACTAGCTGGGCCTTGTGCAAATTTCAGGAATGCTTTGACTTCTCTATCCCAAGATAAGGACCAAAATTCAGATTCCTCAGCCCTTTTTCCTAATTCAGCATCCTCATCTTAGCCTTTCAGGATGCAGTGTCTGAAGCTGAGGAAGAGCAAAGGAGAGTGAAGCCAAAGGGAGGTGAGGCCGTAGCCCTCCAGTCCTCCCTTCCCTGGCCCACCAGAGGGTCTTATGTGGGCCCATGGGCTCCCTCCAAAGGGAGGCAGCAGCAGGCCTGACAGAAGGAATCATGGAGTCAAAGGAGAATCCAAGTCCAAGATCCCCAAAAGAGAGACCTGAGAAGAGTACTGCACATAAAATGGTAGGTTTTGTTTTTTTAGCAATTTTGTTCATTGAATTGAACTCTCACATCCCCCCAGAATCATGGCTATTTCTACCCTTGACCCTATGGCAAGTGTTCCTCATCTGGCTGAGTTGGGGTGGGTGGAGATAGGTATGATTATACAACTTTTACATTTCTCTGCAAATGGGCACCTACCTTGGGGGTTGTAGCATGACCTGAAATCATTACATCATCTCAATTTGCTCTGTAGGCCAAGTGTGGTGGCTTATGCCTATAATCATAGCACTTTGGGAGGCCGAGACAGGAGGATCACTTGAGGCCAGGAGTTCGAGACCAGCCTAGGCAACAAGCGAGACCTCATCTATACAAAAAAATTTTAAAGTTAGCCAGGTGTGGTGACCCGGTCCTAGAGTTCCAGCTACTTGAGAGGCAGAAGGATCACCTGAGCCCAGGAGATCAAGGCTGTGGTGAGCCATGATCTTACTACTGCACTCCAGCCTGGGCAACAGAGACCGTGACTCAAAGAAAAAATTTTTTTTGGCTCTGTAGAGAGGAACATTTCCTGTATTCTCCCACTTTTAACTGCTAAGAAAAATGCCATGCACATCGCTACCTTGCAAGGCACAGCAATGATTTAAAACACATGCCAGAATTCTGAACTCTACCTCTTTTGCTAAGCACTAGACAAAAAGACTTCTATCTCAAGCACAAAAACGACTTAATACTTTCTAACTCTATGTGGGGCTGTGTGAGCAACAACTGTCCCTTCCCATCCTGTGGCAGCCCTGGTCCTATCTACACAGCCCCTCTCTATGGATACATGAACATCTTCCCAGAGCTCTGGTGGGATGATGCCATATCCAGGCACAGAGTTCAGAAACACTGAGGGCCAGGCAAGCCTGGGGCACCTGGGAGCCAGCAACCCCATGCCCATGAGTCCCCACTTTGCAGGGTTCTAAGAGAGGGCAAAGTGGAGTTCCACAGTGGAGGGTATGGAAGCTGGCAGCATCACTCCCATGGGCAGAATGGGCTGCGGCTTCCCCGCTCAATGCCCAAAGGGAACAATTAGACATTGTCCTCCCAGGTCCTCACAGCACCCCTGTGAGGTGGGCCTCCATTTTGTAGCAAGAGTATCAGTGCCCAAGACCACAGGGAAGATGGGCATGAGGTCTCAGGGGTCCTGCCGCCCAGACCCAGGCACGAATGACCCAGAAGGCAAACACGTCTCCCCTCCAGTCAGGGACAGCCTCTGTTGTACCGGGCTTCGGCTCTTCTCGGCGATGACGCTTGCCAGGAGTTGGGACTGAGGCCCCGCCGACTTCACATCTTGTCGGTTTTGTTCTCGAATCTGTGTGGAGAGGGAGAGGAAGAGTGAGAATAAGTTGGCTGTCAGGGTCAGAGTGTGGAGTTTGGGGGGGTATGTACTGGTGTCCAGTATGGCCTCTGACTGGGGCCTAGAAGGGTCTTCCAGCAGCGTAGGAGCCCGTTCCCTATCTTTTTTTTGGGGGGGGTTGGAGTCTCACTCTGCTGCCCAGACTGGAGTGCAGCGGCCGCTCCCAGCCATCGCAGCCTCGACCTGCTGGGCTCCGGCGATCCTTCCGCCTCAGTCTTCCAAGTAGCCGGAATTACAGGCGTGCGCTACCACGCCCGGCTGATTTTTTGATTTATTGTAGAGATGAGGTCTTGCTGCCTAGGTGGGTCTCAAACCCGCGGGCTCAGGCAATCCACTCACCTCAGCCTCCCAAAGGCGCGGGATTACAGGCTGAGCTCCGTTCCCTATCTTAACACAACCCGTGCACTCTAAGAGATGGTCTCCATATCGGTTCCAGAGCAAATTAGTAGTTTATGTCAAACACCAGATTTTTGTGAACTCTGAGAAGGAGTTGTACAAGGAGTTTTACAAATAAAATGAGGTGCAATAGATCCTTGAGGGAAGTTCTCAAATTTTAATATCCCTAAACCCCTGAGGAATTTGTTTTAAATACATATGTGGGGGGGGCAAAAACACCCACCAGAATTATTTTTTGGAAGGCAGGCCCTTTGTAGTACAGGTTTCCCGCACTAGGTGAATGTTCTAGGAACCCACTGGCATCAGTGTACTTGCTAGCGTTGTTGTGAGAGGCAGCGTTTGGCTTCAGTAAATTTTTTGTTGGAGATTCTTTCATCACATTTGCCCATTTCATGATGGGAGATTTGTGAGCGCATCAGCTCACACCACACTGAGTGTTCAGCAGTTTCTGACCAAAAACGGCATGGCCTCTGTGCCCCACCCTCCCTCTTCACCTGATCTTGCCCCGAGTGATTGTTTGTTTCCCCAAATAAAAAATTTCTCAAAGGGAAATGTTTTGCTGATGTGGAAGAGGTGAAACAAACAAACAAACAAAAAAACGGCAGGAGTACTAAAAGGCATCAAAATTGGCAGTTCAAAAACTCTTTTTGAGCAGTGGAAAAAGTGTCCTGAGAGGGGTATTATATCAGATGGAGAATGCTTTGAAGGTGACTGAGATTTAAACACGTAAGAATAAACACACATTTTTAAATATAAAAATTCCAGAGTTTTTTAGGTTCCCCTTTGCATTCTTGAACCTACTCTACAGCTATTGAATATGGACCTCGGGCAGAGGGTGACATAGAAATATGACCTTTAAACAAGTGCTACAGGGGGTCTGGACCACTCATTGAAACACTGTCCTAGAAGCTGTCTGAATTATTGCAGGTGGCCTGCTACAACTGTAGTTTTTAAAGCATTAGAATTATAAATGAGTGAACTAGCAGGTAAAGGTCCAGAAATAAACATAAAGCATCTTGAAATCTTGAAAAAAATAAGCCAAACGAAAAATGGCATAAAATTAATAAAAACTCAATTTGTGGACAGGTCTTTCAGTCATAGCTAATGTGTAAAGCAAACACTCCTTTGTGTAAAGGGTCATCTAAGACTACGTAAGTGTAGCACTTAGCAAAGTGAAGGGAACGTGGCCAGTCAATGGTGGTTTCTTTCTCCTTATGAGGCATCTGGGATGTTAGTGAGCCAGGCACATCCCAGTAACTCAGCTTGTGTGGCTGGTTTTCAGACCCCCCTTGAGGGAGAAGAGGGGGTGATTTAAGCAGCCCCGAACTTACCTTGTTCCTCATTTCCAGCACTTCTTGAGGGTCAGTATAGAGAGGCACAAATTGGTTTGGGTTTTCGATCCGTATCGGCATGCCACTGCTGGATTTCTCCACCTCGTCAGCCTTCATCCACTGCACAAACACAAGGCCACATGGGTGAGGCAAAGAAGCAGGTCCAAGCGTCCTCCCCAGTGGTACACCCATAAGGTCTGGACCCACCAGCCTGAGTGGAAGATCAGCAAGCCTAGACACAGATGTTCTCTCTTCTTGGGCCTCTTTAATGTCTGTCTCTGAGAGCAGAGATGGGTGACAGAGGCCAGGCATGGTGGCTCACACCTGTAATTCCAGCATGTAGGAGGGAGGCCAAGGCAGGTGGATTGCTTGAGCCCAGGAGTTTCAAACTAGCCTGGGCAACAGAGCGAAAGCCCATCTCTAGAAAAAAATCAAAAAATTAACCAGGCATAGTGTGTGTGCCTGTAGTCACCGGTTACTTGGGCTACTGAGGTAGAAGGACAGCCTGAGCCAAAGAGGTCAAGGCTTCCGTGAGCCATGATCATCATGATCATGCCACTGTACTCCAGTCTGGGCAACAGAGTGAGACTCCAACTCATATTTAAAAAAGAGAGAGAGAGAGACGAGTGACAGATAACCCAGCTGCCAAAGAAGGCCCCCCTGGTCAATAGTGAGCCATAAAGAACACTGGAGAGTCAGGGTCAGAACCTTGGAAACCATCTTTGGGCGTCGATATTAGGTAACTATTTGAGTTTGGAGAGTTTCATATTGTTTTATAAGGGGCTGTTCAATTTGGTCATCAACTACTTTGAAAAATCAAATTAAGAGTCTGTGTGTATGGAAGAGAGGCAGAGAGAAAAGGTAACCCAATAGAAGTGACTACCCCATCTACCTCCTCAGTTTGCAGTCCAAATGTCAGATGCCCAGCCCTGAATTTCCCAGAAGCCCCCTCCAGATGTGGGAGCAAGAAGCAAAAACCAATTGCTCCTGGGTCGTGTGCTGCTGGAAGTGGCCTGGTCCAGCTGCTCTCTGGAGAAATCTTCTCTCAGACCCAAAATCTCAGTGCAGAGGTGCAAGGATGAGATGGACAGAGGCTCAGTGGGCCTGAACAGCTGCTTCCAAGTGCCCAAGTGAAAGCCCTAAGAGGATGGTACTAACCCAGGTGCAAGAGAGATCTGTTCCCCTTTCATAGCTGCCTCACCTTACAAATGTAGCCGCCCCTCTCCACTTGGGTCCGTCCTGGGCTTCCCTTACCGTGGTCTTGGGCCGGGGGCTGCCCATGCTCCTCTGGACCTCGTCGGCCACGTTGACCCGCAGGTAGGTGTTGGGCGTGTTGAGCCAGCGCGTCTTCTCCTTCTGCTGCTTGTGGGCATGCTGCCGCAGGGCCGGCACTGGGGCGCCGTCCTCCTCGAACACAAAGGCTGTCACCGTGGCAGGAATCTCCACCTCACTTTTGTGTTTGGTTTTCTCTTGAACAAAGGGGTGGCGGTACGTGTAGCCCGTTCTGTAGCCCTAAAAAGAACAAAAATAGAACGATTTATGGTGGGCAAAGGTCTGTGTGTGCACACGTGCATACACTTTGCTACCTTCCATTTAAAGGACTCCATTTAACACAAATCTCCATAAGACAATCTAGGCCTTGCCACTCTTCTGGTATATTTCAGCATCATTCTCTCCTCTTGGTCCCCCAGCCCCTCCCTTCTTCCATCCCAGCAAGCCCTCTGATCAGGGCTGAGAAAAATCCCTAGACTCTTTTGGACCAGACAGAACTCATCACCCAAAGAGAGCTCCAGGTGTCATTGGGTTCAGTAGTTCGCAGCCCTGGTTGCACAGTGGAATCACCTGCGAGTTTTACAAAGTGCTGATGCCTGGGCCCTGCTTCAGAGTTGCTGACTTAATTGGACCACAGTGTGGCCTGGGCTATAGGGTTATTAATTGCTTCCCAACTGATTCTAACAGTCACCTCTCCCTTCCTCAGTTCTGAAGCTCCTTAACAATTTCCCTCTCGGGACCCCAAAATCTGACTCAAGAACATTCCTGTCTCCTAAACAAAGACCATGTCCCTCAAAGCCAGAGCTGACTGCTGCTCAGTAAGAACAAATACTCGGGAATCCCGGCAGCTGTCGAAGTAACACATGCCTCCCCCAACCACTGTCTCATTTTTTTATTTTTAAATTAAAATGGCATCAAGGTATTGTTCTTCTTATAAAGGAAATACTCATGTGGAAAAATTAAGCAATAGAGAAAAACATAAGGAAAAAAGTGAAAAGTCTCACCCCCAGACAACCACTAAAACCTTTCCAATCATTTCTCTATGCGTACATTTGTGTGCATGTACGTTTGATTACCAATAAAACTGGACATTTACATATAACAGCTATCTGAATAACTTCCTTTGAAAATTGTTTATGTTTTCAGCCCATTTTTCTTTTGAGATGTTTCTCTCAATACATTGAAAAAAGTACATTACATTGATGTGTAAAATCTCTTTTTACATTTAAGAATATTGATCTTTTGGGCCGTCACTGATGTTGAAAATATTTCCCTACATACTTTGTCTTTTATCTTTGATTATGGTGGGAAATTGGTTTATAGAAATACAAGTTGTGAATTTTTTTATATGATCATATCTGTCAGTATCTAATCATTTCAGATTTTTCTGCCATGCTTGACATGGTCTTCTTCGACACAAGGGCATCAAAAATATGAACCTGTTTAATTCCTCCATGAGTTCACTTTTTAGGTTTAAATGTTTGATAAATCAGGAATGTATCTTGTTGAAAGAAATGAAGTAACAATCTACCTTAGTTTTCTTTTCCAGATGGCTAGTGGTCTATCTTTCCCCACTGATTTATAAAATGCCTGTTTATCCCATGTTAAATTATCATATACTATGGATCTATTTCTGGATTCTCTAAGTGGTTGCATTGGTTTACTTGTCCATTCTGGTAGTGCCACACCAGTTGGTTACTAAGGTTTTTTCATACTTTATCATGGGGTGGAGTGGAACTAGAATCCCTAATTACTTTTCTTTTTATGACATTTTCCTAGCCATTCTGAATTTCATGTGAAAGGATACTGTGTTGAGTCCATGTACCTTCTGCCATTTTTGAGAAAATCACAGTGAGTTTACTGATTCATTTTGGGGATGCAATCTCTTTACCCCATGGATGCATTCTAACCAAGAATAAACTACATCTCTTCACTGATTTCACATTTTCTCTGATGTTTATTGCTAAAGTTTTACGGCTTTTTAATAAATAGGTTCTGGTTTTTAACATATTATTATTTTACTGCAGTTATAAATAGGATTATTTTCTCCCAATAATATATTTGGAGTTAATATAAAGCAGTTAATGCTAAGATACAAAAAAAATTTTTATATACAATTTTATAATTAGCCAACTTAAAATATTCTCATTATTTTGAATACTGTTTTCAGTTTTTTAAGACTTTATAGGCATAAACCATATTTATAAATACTAATTTTGTTTCCATTACAATATTTATACTTATTTATGGTTCATTGGATTGAGTTCCAATAATATTCCAGAACAATATTAAATAATAGTGTTAAGAGAAAGAATCATTGTTTTGTTTCAAAGTTTAACAAAAATACTTCTAAGTGTTTCATAATGATACTGGCTCTTATCTTGAGAAAAATCATTTTAGTCACGTTAAATAAGTATCTTCTTGTCCTTGCTAACAGCTATTATTTTTATAAATTAATGTTAAATCTTTATCAAATAACTTGATATTTATTAAAATGCACAAGAGGCTTTAAGAGGACTTTGTCCTTTGATGCTTCAATATCATGAAACACATTTAAAAGATTTATATTATTAAACCATCCTTGAATTATAGGAAAGAGCCCTCATTTTGTTATTGCATATTATTATTCTAATTTTAAGCTTGATACAATTTACCAGTTTTCATGAGGCATTTTTCATCAACATTCGAAGTGAAACTGGTCTAAATATGTTATAATTATTGTGGCTTAGTATCCTTCTTTCACTCTTCTCTGAAATGGTTTAAGTAACATAAAAATTGTGTTGCTTAAAGGTTGAAACCATCTATTCATGGTGCCTTATTTAATTAATTAATTTATTTTATTTTTCGAGTCAGAGTCTCACTCTGTCACCCAGGCTGAGTACAGCAGCATACTCATGGCATCGCAGCCTTGAACTGCTGGGCTCAGGCCATCCTTCTGCCTCAGCCTTCCAAGTAGCTAGAACTACAGGCACATGCCACCACGCCTGGCTAATTTTTTTTTTAAAATTTATATAGAGACAGGTTCTCACCAAGTTGCTCAGGCTGGTCTTGAAGCCCTGAACTCAGGTAATCCTCTCACCTCAGCATCCCAAAGTGTTGGGATTACAGGCTTGAGCCACCACACTTGCCCCATTGTGCTTTATTTAGATGTAGATTACTCAGCACACAAATGTTAATGGGAGTTGTATTTTCCTTGTGAATTGGACCTTTTATCACTAAAAATGACTCTTATGGTCAGCCTGGTAATAAGGTAGAGATGATCTGAAGGAACTGAACACGGATAAAATTATTAATCATGACAATGACCTTGACATGATAAAGAGGGTCCAAGGCAGTAGCAGTGAGAATGGGAAAAATGAATCAGACAGAATGTCATCTTTCACTTCTTTGAACAATCTCAGAATTTATCATCTCTTGCTGCAATAAGCTCCTCACTGCACATGCTTTCCTCTTATTCTTGAACTGTAGCCTGTTTATACCCCATATCATCAACTAAATTGTTAGCCCCTAGAAGAAAAAAGAATGTCTTTAAAATTTGTTGCATCCTTTAAAGAACCAGCCCATTCCTAGACACATACCAGTTTAATCCCTTACATGACTGATTGATTCATTTATTCATTACAATAGGACACTGTTATAAAGCTGCTGCCCAGGAATAAGGAAATTAGTAGTATTATGTGCTTCCTGTCTTGAAGTCATGAGCTTCAAAAGAAAGGCAGAACTATTGGCACAAGAGATGTGAGCAAAGCCCCAACATAAGAGAGGCTCTGTGTTCTGGTTTTTACTAGATTACTTTTAGTAGAGCATTCTGCAGATATGATAACATCCAAGCACTTAGTGGGGGGTGGCAAAGGCCACTGTTTAAGAAAACTCAACTACTATTAGAATGACCACAAATTCTAAATCAAATTGCCAATCAACAAGGCTTCCGCAACTTAACTGTGAGGCTGGCAGCTCTCGGGGCCACCTAATGCCTTGCACTCCCTGGATCCAAAGGCTAAGCCTTAATGAACTGACCTGGGAGGACAAAAGTAGGGGACTCACCAGGTTGTCCAGCATTCTCATGAGGGCCTCAAACTCGTGCTCCCCCAGCCGGCTCTTCTGCATGGGCCCAAAAGTACTCCCAGCCCACTGCACAGAGCCCACTTCGTGGGGCCGGTGCTTTTCCTGCTCCAGGAGGATGAGGTTCTCCACACCCCCAGCGCTGGACAGAGCTGATACCTGCAGCAGAGAGCAGAGAGTCCTCAGCCCAGGTGCACAGGGGTATCCCTATACTTACTTATACTCTCATATGTAATGGGGGAGAGGGGATCACAGAGAAGAACTTAGAAACCAGAGATGTCTGAGAAACTGAGGAAAAACCATGCAAACCTGTAGGGCACACACCTGTTTCCAAGGACACAGGTATTAGTAGTTTATTTCCTGATGTCAGTTCTTGGGAATTACAGAGAAGGAAATAGCAAGTGTTAAATCTTAAGAATTAAACAATACAGAAGACTGAAAGTTACCTAGGTATAGACCAACTTAGAATTGTGATTATTTCTGATGAGGGAGAGAGTACGAGATTGGAAAGAGATCCAAAGGGAACTTTGGTTCTTATCTGTAATATTTTATTTCTTTAAGGGGAAAAGATTTGAAGCAAAAAGGTTGTGAATATTTGTTCTGAATAGTAGGTATGGGTGTCTATTATGTTATTCTCAGCAATTTTCTGTTTGTTTAACATATCTTCCGTATTTTGTTAGGTCACTTGAAAGAACTAGGCGTGTAATCTGATGGGATGAATTAGCAGGTCTAAAGGAAGAACGCATCCTTCACAATGGGATTAGTCAGTCAGCGGAACCCAGAAAAGGAGACAGATAAAATGTTGATGGTGCACGGTCAGGCACTGTGCAGAGGCTGGTTCCACCCAGGGCTTAGGGTGTTTGTCCCATTGTCAAGGCTCCATGGGGCGGGGATGACACAGGCAGTGGATTTTGAGTATTAGGACAAGAGGTGTGTATATACAGCAGGTGATTTGAGAATGATCTAAAAACATTCCTTAACCTAATGAGGCTCATTTTCTAATTCCATGTTCATCTCATGATACATTCTATTTACCCCACCACTCACATATAATTGGTTAGGATCTGGCTTCCTGGATAAGTCCAGCTACAGAGAGAGAGGATGACTTTTGAGTGTTCCAGGTAGTGAGACAGATGTTTTGCACCTCACATGACATTAGCATTCTGAGTAAGATTTGATATCCCATGTAAGCTGGTTTATTATAGGGGAACTGTTCCAATTACATGAACTTTCAGTGTTGCAGTGTTTTGTGACAGGTTTCTTTCTTTCTTTCTCTTTCTTTCTCTCTCTCTCTCTCTTTCTTTCTTTTTTTTTTTTTTTTACTGCAAATGAAAGGATCCAATTAGTCTGCTGACAAATACAGGTCTATGCAGCCATGAGAACTGGAACAGACCGTGGAATCTATTAAATTCATATTGCAAACATCCCTGTGATACTTCTCTGAAGTCAGCCAGGCAGCCTTCCCAGGTGGCTCCCATCACTCTGTGAAGAGGAGGAGGCAAGAATATTTCTATGGCCTTCTCATCCCAGGCACGTGCCCGCCTGAAGGCAGACCTTTCCCACTGACCCTTTCTGCCTTGGATAGGCAGTGCTTCTTTAGGTAGTGTTTAGGGCATGCACCTGAGTGCCAGGTTGCCTGGATTTGAATCTTGGCTCTGCCACTTATTCACTGTGGGACCCTAGAAAGCTTTTTACCATCTCTGTGCTTCAGTTTCCTCATCTGTAAAATGAAAATAGCAGTACCTACCTCGTGATAAGTCTTTAAGGTAATAGTTGTGAGGTACTTAGTGTAGCACCTGGTACATAGAGCATGCCATATAAATGTCTTGATATATGAATTCTGAGAGGCAATATCCCCTGGGGACTGGTCATTAATGGAGAAGGGGAGAGGGAGAACCCTGCAAGGGCTGCCTCCTCCCGCCTCTCTCTTCCTCCCTGGGTTTCCATGGCGATGGGTACCAGATGGAGAAGAACTGCCTGAGTTTCTTCCCATCTGCCTGTCAGCAGAGCAGGGAGCTGCTCGCCTCAGCTGGAGATGACCCAGTTTTCTGGAACCCTAACTTGATGAGGAGCAAAGAGAACAGCATCCCCAAGAGAACTGAACAGGCTCTCGGCCCCACACTGCTAACATGACCACAGCCACGTTTGCCTGTTTGCCAAGGTCACTGGGGGAGAAAAGTCGGTCCACAATGGAGCCAGAGCTTCAGTGCTGGCCGCTCCACCCAAAAATGACCTGGCCAGGGCTACAATTCCAACGGCACCTGCAGATTGCTGCTGCTAGCGCTCCTTTATGTCCTAACCTACCCACACCTCTGGTCTAATCTTTCCTGATTTTCTTCCACATCTTTCAGCTCCATTCTTCCCTCTAGAAGCCTCTCTGCTCTACCAGCTTGGGGGAAAAAAAGCCACTGGAGCTTTTGGGGGGTTATCTGCCTGCACTGCCTGAAGTACTACATCAAGTCTCATCAAACCAGTTCTGAACAGAAAGTGACAGCAGTCGGGGGGCTGTCAGGGACAGTGGCCGCCAGCTCTGCCCTTCGACCACAGATGGCCACTTGCCTTTGGCTAAATTGCCCGTGGTCATTTCTGGGGAGTCTGGATCCTGAGAGAGGCACATATCACCATGTAGGGGGACACATGGGCATCTCTCTCCGTTCATGTTTAGGGCTGGATTGTCTTTGCAAAGAGATGAGGTTTTTACATGAGCTATTTTCTCATGGGAGCCTCTTCTGCAAAAGGAAGATGGGGAAATTTTGAGAGTTCAGATGTAAAAAACAAAAAGTGGTTTCTCTTTATACCAGAGGCTCCACCAGCTTCTTAACTAGTCACTGGCCAGAGCTCAGGACCAGCATCCTTCGTCGGGCCGGGGCTACCACATCAGAAAGTTAACCACCTGGGTCCACCTTCCCCACATCCTCATGTGCCGACCACTTCCTCTAACACATCTTCATCATTATCTTCACAGCTGATCTCTCAAGATATTCCTTTAAAAACTATTGAAGGGGTACCACTGCAGAGCCTCCACCAGCGATGCTTCTGGGCAGATCTCATCCCTCCCAGAGTAACTCCAAGAGAAAGACAGGCATCTTTCTCTGGGTGCAGTTTTGTCCCGGCCAGCCAGAAGAGGGCAGGTGGGACACCCAAAGGACTTGGCCCAAAGCTGACTCGTCAGGGGCAACCAGCCTCTCCTTATGCCAACCAAGTCCTAAAAATGCTGTCAGTAACACCTCTCCTTGTCTGAAAAGCCCTGCGCTCATGACGACCCACTAGGCCCCATGTATATAGCTGAGGAAACAGAGGCTCAAAGAAGACAAGTCCTCCGCCCAAGGGCACGCAGCCAGAGCAGGGATGATGGAGCTCAGTCGCCCCGGTTCACAAGTCTTTCCAGGGCTGTGGAAGGCCTGATCAACTTGCCATGCTACAGAGCATGTGCTTGGCTTATCCAATACCACTTTATGGTCTGTAAAACTACAGATTTGTCTGTTTTCCTACAGCTTCAGCACTAGCTCTTCTGGGGGTTCTGAGATCACCGAAACTCTGTCTTCTCCAACCCGTATCGGTTAGGGGACTCCATGATGGGCTCCCTGGACATCACCTTGGGGTTGTCCTGACCAGCGTGCTGTGCCAACCCTCCCGCTGGCCTACTTTCCACTTCTCTTTCTGGACTTGACCATGTTCCTGGGCTTTGTAGACTCCCCCTACCCCAACCAAAAAAGAAAGGAAGGCAAGGCTCAAAGGACTCCCTGAATCACAGCCAACAGGGTTGCTGCCTTTGCCCACAGGCCCCTGCCAGAATCCACTTCCCGGCCCACTTCTCAGAGGCTCACCTGTATCTCACATGCAGCCTGCAGGTGGAAGACCTTATAAAACGCCTCCTCCACAGTGTCGCCTAGAGCAACCACTCCATGGTTTCTTAGCACCAGAATCTGTAGGTGAGTAAACAGCCAATTAAAACCTTAAGCCTTCTCTACTTTAGTTAAGAGGGAGAGTGTTTTTATTTTATTTAGATCTATTTGCACATCTAACCCCAGGGCTTCTCCCCCAAACTCCTTGTTCATGCAATTTTAACCCTAAGAAATTGAAAAGGCATTTTAAAACAGATTAAGTAGCTTGGTCAAGTTCTTTGGGCAATGCCTGGAATTTTAGACATTGGGGAGCTCAGAAGTTTGAAAAACGAGTGTGTATGTTAAAGTAAATTGACGTCCAATACAAAGACCCCACCTTAAAAGCAATCCCTTGCCACTGTGACTGAGTTGACCTGGGAGTCAAACCCAAGGGGTTGGTTCTCTGAGAGGTGGCTCTGCAAAACAGGCAGTCACATGAGCTCTCTGGGCCCTGGGTTTCCACTCCACAAGCTCAATAAGGCCCTACTGGCTCCAAGATTCCACAGTTCTATGAGCAAGAGCATGGTAACCTTCTAATCTACCTCACTGGTTTCACAAATGAGGAACTGTGAAGTACTTAGTGTAGCACCTGTAGGGCTAAAGAAAGGGAAAGTCTCTCAGCTAACTAGGAGCAGCATCTGAACTAGATCCAGGGCTTCTCACTGTTGGTGCAGTGTTTCTGATTCAGCCAGGGTGAGCAGATAAAAGCGAGGAAGACCAAAAATGAATCTGTACCAAAAGCAAAACTCTCCCAAGTCCCAGTGTATCCTCTCTGTCAGAAACTTTTCCTGGTTGGTTTTACCTTTAAGAACTCTCTAAAAACAGATGATACCTGCTTGGGAGCTGGGTTACAGACCCATGTGTCAGCTCTGTTCTTGGAGAGCCTGGGCTAAGGCCTGGGAGCTCTAAACATCACATCCTCTCTTGCTGAAAACAGCTGGTGTTTTTTCCTCCCAAGTGCCAGAGAAACAGAGACAATGATGGTGGCCCACAAAAAATACTGAAAACAATGAATATCTGATCTCTCAAATTCTTGCAGCGCTTCATGTATCTCATGTCTCTCCTGGCCACTGCAAATGATGCTTTGGAGGATGTCAGGAGCCAGTGGCAGGATTTCTCACCCGAGTTAAGAGATGAGAAGACAGGGATTCTGACAGGAAATGACTACGGTAGTGTGCTCCTCTTCAGGACGGCAGCAACAGCCCATCAATCCAGGCTCGGTTCTGATGCTCTTCCACACTGAGCCGAACACCCCCAGTTATGTGCTGTTAAGCCTTATGCCAAGTGATACCATTTGGATATTTGTCCCCTCCAAGTCTCACATTGAAATCTGACCCCCAATGTTGGAAGTGGGGCCTAGTGGGAGGTGTTTGGGTAATGGAGGTGGATCCCCTATGAATGGCTTGGTGATGATTATTCTTGCTCTATTCATTAAAAAAGCCTCTGGGACCTCCTCCTCTTGCTTGCTCCTTTCTTGCCATGTGATGCATCTGTTCCCCTTGACCTTCAGCCCTGAGTAGAAGCTCCCTGAAGCCCTCACCAGAAGCAGATGCTGGTACCATGTTTCTTGAACAGCCTGCAGCTGTGCTGAAAATAAGCCTCTTTCCTTAATAAAGTACCCAGCCTCAGGTATTCCTTTATAGCAATACCAATGGACTAACATACCAAGCAATAATGAGGTTCTGTTTTTCTCTAGCACGTTGACAAAAACAAGTAAATAACACTAAGTAAGTGATAACACTAAGGTTTGGGAAGACTGAAGGGAAACTGCATCCTCACCTACTAGACAAGGGGTGGGAGAGGGAACAAACTTTGTGGGGGCAATCTGGCAATATGGATTAAGAGTTCTAAAATGCGCATCCCCAGAAATTTGTCCTAAGGAAACCATCTCAAGTGGACACAAAGGCTTAGCTGAAAAGGTTTTCATCACAGTGCTGTTTTTATGAAGAGAAAACTTGAAGGGAAACCCTTCCAGTGTCCAACCACAGAGCAGTGTTCAAGTAAAAAGTAGCACAGCCACTCACATAATGCATATAGTTTAATACTTTGAAACAGTGATAGGGAAAATATTTCATAATATACAAAAGCATTTATTGTATCTTGCTAAGAGAAAAAGGGGAGTTTATGATTTTTAGTTTTGTAAACATATTTGAATATATTGAGGTGTGCACCAAAACCTCAGGGTAGTGTGATAGATGTGTTCGTCCGTCCTTCCTTCCTTCCTTCCTTCCTTCCTTCCTTTCTTCCCTTCCCCCCTTCCCTTCCTCCCTCCCTCCCTTTCTAGTTTATCTACAGCCCCTAAATATTCTTTAATGGATATATGTCACTTTTAAGACATCGGCTTTGACAATGCCATTCCAGAAGAGCGGAACTAACCTTGCAGGTGGGTCCAAGGCACTTCTGCAGGTTGATCCGATCGGCTTCCTGCTCCATTTCCCCATTGAAGTCATAATAGGCCATGTCCCCCACCAGCAGGGCATTGTGGGAGACAGGAAGGAGGCCCCACTTCATGGCTGACACCTTGGAGAGACAATGGCATGGTCAGTACCACAGCTCCCCCAGCTGTGTGCTGCATTTCCGCCCTTTCCTCAGAGCAGCACAGTCCAGTTCTACTCTGGGGGATGCGGGGGTGAAGGTAGGGAGCAGGCACTTGAGAAAGGCCTTGCCTCCTCCTCCAGTGGGCCCAGTTCTGCTGTGAGGCTTGCTCTAACGTCTTTCCATCACAGTTTTCGCAGAAGCCATGTCAATACATTACCTTTTAGAATCACTGGAAAGAATGCACCCAAGAGAGCTATTGCCACCCCTGACCCCATCTTGTCAGATGACTCTGGGAAAAGGCAGAATGTGGTAGAGTTTGCACCAGGTTGGGTGAAGCATAGTCCAGGTCCCCTGGGAAAAGCTGGAAACCCTCAGCCTTGGTTTTAGTGCAGAAATGGCCACACTCCTCACTTCAGGGAGGCCCATTAAGAAGTCCCATTTTATGGCACTGGGGCAATACAAGTGCCAGGGACCAGGGTTAAAACCCAGGTTGTAATCCCTAGCCCCATCTTTTATCAAAGGCAAGGAGCCTGGAGAGGTTTAGAAGAGCCTTTCCCTCCTTCACTCATTTATGCCCTCCAACTCAGCTCTGTGCTCTGCAGAGATGCACATTTGGCACAAATATATCGTTGAGTCTTAGCCCCAATCGGAAGCTCATAACCAGTGTGCTTTGCTGAGAAAATAACAGGTTGGTGGCAAGTCAAACCTGTCCCTGTTGGTGTGTGGCCTGGGCATCAGTAGGATGGCCTGAGGGTTGGGGAAATGCCCAGAACTGGTTTTCTGCTGTCTTTCCAAGTGACAGGTAATGCCTTAGGTAAACATGGAGAAGCTACTGAGACCCTTGGGTGGGGGGCAACCTGCTCCTTGAGGTTATTCCTTCTACTCTCTTCCCAATTTTGTGTGCTCTGTCCCCAGCTCTCAACCTACCCTGAGTTATGAAAAAGTGGGCACAGTCCAGGTTCCCACCATCTTGTTATCCTCTATCAAGACATGTCCTCACCAGAGCCTGGGTTGTGTGGGGGCAGGTACCACCTCTTGGTTCAATAGCACAGTCCTGATCCAATAGCAGTTGCTGTTATCATCAGTTGCTACTACCTCCAAGTGGCTCATGTCTTTCCTTGAGCAGATGGGAAGGAGCCCACTCACCGCTGCCGTGGCTGGCGTGTGCAGGTGGATGACACAGCGCACATCGGGTCTGGCTGCATAGATGGCTGAGTGCAGACAGAAGCCCGTGGTGTCCACTGGGAAGCAGCTGCTGCCCTTCTCCACCACCTCTCCTAGGATATTCACCTTGATCTGGGCCAGAGAAGAAGAGAGACTTGCAGCAACGGGGCAGCAGAGGCCCTGCACTCCTTTCCCAGCTGGTGGGCCCAGCATGGGCTGCCCACCTATGTTCACTCATTCATACACCATGAGCAACAGTGAGCTTGGTGTTGGGGAGACGTGTGACCTAGTGCCTGCCCTCAGTGAGTGTACAGTCAAATGGGAGCACAGATGATTATAATTCAGGAAGAATGCTAGACAGAGTTCCTCAAACTTTGCTGTGCACATGAGTCACTTGAAGATGCTGCCAGAATGCAGATTCTGATTCATAGGCTGAGTACAAGGCCTAAGAATCTGCATTTCTAACAAGTTCTTGAGTGATATTGGTCCACAGATCATACTTCAAATAGTAAAGTGCTTGAAGAGAGTCATGCACAGAATTCTCTCAAAGCAGATATGAGGAGTCTTTAATCCCAACAGCACAGGAGAATCAGCGAGCCCTTCTCAAAGGACACAACACTTAAGTTGAGCTCTTTCTTTCTTTCTTTGAAATTAAAAAAAGTATTTACCATATGCAAAGATAAAGAAAATAGTATAAAGAATACACATTTACCAATTACATAAAAGCTAGCTCTTAAAGGACAAGTGGAAAGGAGTCACTGGTTTCATAATCTGCTTTTGACTCCAAGGACCTAGTTGGTGTCATGGCTAAAAAAAAAAAATCACACATTCCATGACTATGTGTGTGGCTGGTTGCTGGCCATGATGTTCCCTACTTAATATAAACAGTTTTACAGAACACCAACACCAGGGAAGGTAGCTCTATGACTGTGATACAGCAAAGCCCAGGTAGACAAGATGAAGACCCAGGAAGGAGACAGACTCTCCTATGGAGGAAGAGACATGCTGCTGACATCATTTACTTAAGCAGAAGCATCAATGAGATGTTCAGCAAATCCCTGCTTACAACGTTGTCTTAAGTGAATTTCACCGAATGAACGTGACGTCAAAGCGGCCTGACCCCTGGAAGTGGCAGCATCTCTCCCATCTCAGGTATTGTAAACCTGAGGGACCCGTGAAGACCTTTAGATTCCCTTCAGCCCAGCTCTCCTGCTTCCTCAGATATGTGGCCTGTTTAGAATTCCCTCTCTGGGATGGTCTTTCTCTGACCTTATGTATTTTTTATCTCACTGTTGGATAAAAATCTGTTGTCACTCAAGAACCTCCGTGGACTGATAGAACAGCCACTATCCCACATGGAACCTTGAGAAAGCAGGTGCACCCTCTTGAGGGCAGCCCTAGGGACACAAAAATTGGTGTGGAGGATGCCATTGTGCAAATTCAAAACAAGACACCAGTGCTGGGACACACTTAGTGAGTGGAGCACAGGTTGGATTTCATCTTCTCCTCTCTTCTTCATGAACCAGGCTCCCTTGTGCATCACACAAACTGCACAACCATATTCAGCAGCCCAAAGCCTACATACTCCATAAACACTTCATGCCCACAGCTCCAATGGGTATCCCTAGCCTACATCTCTTCTGAACCGAGGATAACCAAATGCCAGCTGACATCCCTGAATGTCTCACCAGCTCCTCAAACTCAACATCACACTTTCTACCCAACTGATCACCGGCCCACTAAGCATGCAGGCCCAGAATTTCCTTCCCAGCTTACTGTAATAGCCCCAACTAGTTGTCCTTATGTTATCTGGCCTCCATATAGCCGGCAGTGTTCTTTCTACAACAGGAAACCTGCCTGCATCTCTCATTGGCTTACAGAATGTCAGTGGCTCGGCCTGTCCAGTGGAATAAAGTTAAAAGGCCACAACAAGGCTTCCTGTGCCATTAATTATGGGACCCCTATCTCCTTGCCAGTCTCACCTCCAGACACCAAATACTTGAACCAGTCTCAGCCACTTGTCTTCCTCCCAAATGCACAAGGATCTTACATGCACCTGGGCTTGGTGCATGCTTGGGACACAGGTCACCTCTGCCATACCACTCCCTGTCGCTATGGTCCAAGTCTGCTTATCCTGCTGACTGATGAGGGCTCCACTCCTGCACCATTGTTTCAAATAGAAGCCTCCTCTCTCACCACCACCCCCACCCCGGAGCTCCTGGAAAGGTTGGGTGTCCCTTTTCCAGGCTCCCTATCTGCTGGTTACCTCTTTCCCCCAACCAGACCGCAAACACCTTAAAGACAGAGCCTATGTCATCCTTGTCTCTGTGGTCCCAGTTCTGACTTGGCCATCACTTCCTTGGGCAGCCTTATGCAAGTTGCTTATCCGCTCTGCACACCAGTGTCCTCTCCTGCCTTCTAACATGGCCTTGCCCAATGTCAAGGTCCTACCCTGCCAAGATATTCTGTGACTTTGTCAGCCTGGACTTTTGAATGAGTAGCTGGACTCTACACTTGAGCTTTTCTCAAGGCTGGTGAGGCCCTGGGGTGGTGTCCACTTCGCCAGGCACACAGCACAGCAGCTGTCACCCACGCATCTGAAGATTGGGCCTTTTCTGCTTCTAAGACAGTTCTTTCTAGGGTATTCTCCCTCCCACCCATAAATCCTTCCTGAACTAAAACAACTTTTGGAATTGTCTTCCTGCTTCATCTAAAATGAGCTGGGACTGAAAAGGGACCTCTACCAGCACTGGTGCTAGGAAAATCTCATATTGCTTTGGTTCTTATTCTGATATGTCCTTCGCTATCTAGGAAGGCCCCCCACTCCCACCCTTTGCGGTTGGATCCCAGGCTGAGTCTGTTCAGAGGACCCCATGCATGTCTCCATTTCTTCCTCCCTCCTGCTGCATGTGCTGCCCACACCCTGCATTTGCTCTTTTGGTCGCGTCATACTCTGAGCACTCAGTTTGTTCCATGTGTCTTCTCTTCCCCACCAGATTGTGAGCTCCACAGGACAACGATGACTGATTTGGAGATGACCTATCATGGTAGGAACAGAGGGAGGCGCTGTTATTTCAATAAGGAGTGAGCAATGACACGCTGGACTGTACTCACCAAGCTGGACGCTGTGACTTCACTGCAAGAAACTCCTTTAGGGCTAATCAGGAAGTGGTCCTGCTCCTTGCTGACTCTCAACTAGAGGAAAGACACACGTTCTCAGGGGCAGGGAGGGAGAGGGGACATTTCCAAGGATATTGTGCTTGAATCCCCTCTCCCTTGAAATCCACTGCATCCAAGTCTTCCTCCAATGAACCCTTATCTCCCCACCCCCCCGCCCCCCATGAGAGATGAAGAGGATCCAGCCTTTACTAGGAGTTGGGGAAATGGAGCTACCAAAGGAATCTCACAATGATCAAGGGTAGCCCTAGATATAGACCAAAGTGACCACAGTGGTTGGAAACCTTGGAAGGGCTCAGTGCATTTTGGCCAAAGTGCATGCCAGCAATGCCATGGCCATGCTAAAGGTCAGGAGTTCTCCCTTTGAATTCCCACATGCAGTGCCCCACCCCACGCCAAGCTGCTCTCCTCACCGTAACGTAGGTGTCGCTCAGCTGGGCCCAGCCATAGAGGTCCAGGAGTCGGTAGACACTGCTGATCTTACACCGCATGAGCCGCTCCCCCTTGGCCAGGTTCAGGGAGTCGGCTGTGTGGAGGTCATTGATGGGCGTCATCATGGAGAAGTCTGCGGGGACAGGCCCAAACACTGCAGCTCTCTCAGAGTCAGGGGCTCCCATCTGCCCTCCCCTTCCTTGTTTCAATGTTCTCCCAATTCTCACTGGCACTACAACTGCACAAGAGACTTCCCAGGCAGGGAATTAAACATTATTTGATCCTTACCCAAGGGAAGACGGTCCACAGAATGAATATTTGTGCCCAATAAAGTCCTTCACTCATTTGGGTAATCATGACATTGCGTTTGGTCAAAAATCATGGTAAGACTCAAGGACATAGGGTTCTTGGAATGTCAAGCTTACCATAAATTCTAAAGATGAGCATTGAATAAATGCAAGAATAAATATCTGAATGAAAATATAAGTATATTTCATCACTTAGGTCTTTTTTTTTAGAGATGGGGGTCTCACTCTGTTATCTAGGCTGGTCTCAAACTCCTGGGTTCAAGCAATCCTCCTTCCTCAGTATCCCAAAGTGCTGAGATTATAGGCATGAGTGAGTCACCATGCCCAGTCTATCATTTAGTTTTAATGAAGACGTTATTAATCATTAAATCTTCTATTATCATGTTGTTTTAACCACACCATGTAGTAACATTTTCTGTGACTTGGAGACAGGGCAAATAGAAAGCCAAATCAAATCACAAACTCCCAGAAGTCAATGTGGTATGATGGCTGAAGGGCTGGAGGCCTCAAGCAGGCACATCTGCTCCTCTCTGGACATGCAGTCCCTTGGTTCTACGATGGTTCTTTCTGAGGACTTGGGGAGATGTGAAGCGATTTGGAAATGGACCTAGAAGGTTTGACAGTCTTGACCTCAGGGCACACAAAGGATCTACCTCACCCAGTTTATCCCATTAACCATGACAACCACTGCCTACATGCCTCAGGAAGGTAGAGCACATCTGAGTCCTGGCACTTGGATTAGTCAGCATCTAGGAACCAGTAAAATAATCAACAGGAAGGGATTCTGGCTTAAAATGTGTCTAGCTGAGAACCTTCTGATGCTGCCTCTCTTAGCTCCCCAATACGAGCTTTAATGAATTAGAATGCTCTTCGGAAGCTTTCGCTGTCTCTGTAAACTTCACTGTAACACAATGTGATGTTTGTCCTGTGTCAGGTTTGGCATTAGTTGAAGTGATGAGATGGTCTGCAACTGTGAGGACGAACTGGGTGCTGCTGGGCCAACATCCAGCAAGCAGAGCATACCTTGACTCACCCCAGGAAATGCACCCAAAGGGCCTGTGCTGACCAGACGTGATACACCTCCAAGGCACATGCCCAGTACACACAGATGACAGGGACAGTTGCGGTCCAAAGGCCCAGTTAGACAGTCAAAAGAAACAATGAAATTCTAAAGTCAAGGATTTTTCATTCAAATCGACCAGTCTGGCACCTCTGCCCCCTCTCTGGGAGATCCTCAGACAAGAAGTTGCCTCTTAGCTTCATCCCTGGCAGCAAGAAGGGAGGACATATCAAGAGCATATGGCCTTGGGCAAAGCCAGGCAGGTGAAGCTGTTACTGGGAGAGTCTTCAGACCTACCTTTCTTTGAATACTTCTGTAACGAATAACTATAGAGGCCAGAATAACTATAGAGGCCAGAACAGGTCTGAAAACACTCACTCCACCACATCCTCTGTGTCCTGCATCAAAGAGATTCCCCCTCCCCCACCACGTGGAGTTGCAGCTATGAGGATGCCCTGACCCACAGGACCAAGGGCAGGAGAAGAGAACAGGAGGGCTCAATAGGAGTTCCTGATCCCCTGAGCTTAAGAGCAGGGGATGGAGAGAGATGGGCTAAGGGGCACAAAATACAGTTAGATAGAAGGAATAAGTTCTAGTGTTTGATTGTATAGTAGGGCAACTATAGTTATGAATTTATAGTATATCTCAAAAGAGCTAAAAGTGAAGATTTGGAATTTTCCCGACATAAAGAAATGACAAATGTTTGAGGTGATGGATAGCTCAATTGTCCTGATTTGATTTCACATTGTATGCATGTATCAAAACATCACATGTACCCCATAAATATATATGACTATTATTTATCAATATAAAAAAAATTAAATATAGTACAAGTTTTAAAAAATGCTTGTTCTGATCAACCTCATGAAAGTTAGGATGGCTAAATGCCACGTTTATAAATCAGATCTAACAGAAACGTTTATTCAATTTAAGAAAACACACACAACGAGCCGGGCGTAGTAACGCACGCCTGTAGTTCCAGCTACTTGGAAGGAAGGCTGAGGCGGAAGGATCGCCGGAGCCCAGCAGGTTGAGGCTGTGGTGGCCAGGAGCGGCCACTGCACTCCAGTCTGGGTGACAGAATGAGACTCCAACTCAAAAAAAAAAGAAAAAAGAAAACACACACAAAAAAATAAAAGTCACCAAACCTCCTAAAAGCTAGGACTAGATGACACTAATGCCCCAAAAGCCTCAAATTCTAAGGCAAATGGAGCTAGAAAGAAAACAACCCATCTGGGCTTGAACTCATGACATTTGAAACTTCCCCTCTTCACAGCCCTTGACTCAGATACCCCTGGATGCGGATTAAGCAGACTTTCAGGCATCCATCTATCTTCCTGGCAGATGCTGATTGGTGAGGCAATAGAAATGCTGTTCAGCCCTATTCCTCTGTCAAGAAGAAGAGTATAAGGACAGAGATATGACAATGATGGTAGAGAATGTAACATATTTGGGAGACAAAGATCTGAAAGCCAGCATATAGATAATCAGTATTGATCAAATAGAAGAAAACATTTCTGAACTGAAAGAAGGACTTACTTCATTACAGGGCAGGAGAAGCTCATTAAAAAAGCCTACAATTATATACTTGCAGGCAACATTTCTGAAATATAAGAATAAGGGAAAAATCCACAAGCATCTAGGAAAAAAATTGGTCACCTACAAAGGAACAAGAAATAGACTGTCTCAGAGTTCTCTGTTGTGGCCAGAGAATGCCAGAAGACAATGCTACAGAAGGTTTACAAAAAACACAAAAACAGAAAACACTACAATACAGTGACTCAAAACAGATAAAAATAAAAGAAACATCAAAAGTACACCAGGCAAATATGAACCAAAAAATTAATATAGTATTAATTATTATATTATTATCAAATATTATTATCAAAGTGGAAGTCAGGCAAAACAATAGTCTCTTAGACAAAGGAGCTATCTTGTACGTCATTTTATATGAGTTAAAATTTATAAATTTATAATGAAACAATTTATAATCAGAATGAAATTTATAATGAAACTATAGCTATAAAGAATGCTTATGGCCAGGTGCAGTGGCTCACATCTGTAATCCCAGACTTGGGAGGCTGAGGTGGGAGGAATGCTTGAGCCCAGGAGTTCAACACCATGGTGAGCTATGATTGCACCACTGCGTTTCAGCCTGGATGACACTACAAGACCTTGTCTCTAAAAATAAAAATAATTTTCAAAAAAAAGAATGCTTATACTCCAAATAGTATTCCATCAAGATATATAAAGCAAGAGCTATCATAAATACAAAGGGAAATGAACAGCAAAAGCTATCATAATTACAAAGGGAAATGAACAGAAATCAAATACAATGGCAGATAGCACAACTCTCATTTTTCACAAAATCAAATACAAATGAAAATATAAATACTATGCCCTAGAGATAGTCTATACCCATAGATCATCCTAAAATGGCATTATTAGGCCACAAAGTATATCTCAATAAATCTCCAACATGGAAATTAAATGGGCCACATTTTCTAAACATAATGCAATAAAACCCAACATTACTAACAAATCTTTCAAAGAATATTCATTTAACCATTTGGAAATAAGAAAACACAATCCCAGGCAGCTCTTAAAATAAAAATAAAGTCAAAACAGCAACTGCAAGCTATTTAGAAATTACAATAAAAGAAATACTGTGTCAAATTCATGGGATAAAGCCAAACACATAAACAGAAAAAAAAATGTATAGACTTAAATGTCTTTATTATTAAATTAAATATGAAAAGAAATCAAATCAATTTTATTCTATCCTAAAAAAAAATGAGGAACAAAATAAACCAAGGAAAAGTAATGGAAAAGAATTAATAAATCTAAAAACAAATTAATGAACTAGGAAACAGGAAGAATACCATAACCAATAAGTAAATCCAAGAACCGGTTGACATGAGAAGATCTGGGAATAAACAAACATCTGGATGGTCAGGAAAGAGGAAGTCAACATACACAGTACCAGGAATGAGAATGGGATATCACCTTGTTCACAGCAGAAAGTTTAAATGGTAAAAATATTATTGTAAGTCACTCTAAAAATCTTGAAAAGCTCCATGAAATGGATTATTTTATTTAAAATGTTACCAAAATTTACCCAAGAAGTAGCAAAATAAATTTTAAAAACTCTAGACGAAACTGAGGAAAAAAAAAGTCAAAAAACCCCTAAAAATGTTACAAATCTGATGGCTTTGTAAGTGGATAATACATCTTCAAGGAATAGAAACTTCCCATATTATTTAAACTCTATCAGGGCAAAAAAAGGGGGGGAGGGGCACAGGGGATGGCTCACTCTGATTCATTTTATGAGATTCTAGCCTTAATACCAATACTAGGTGAAGACTACCCAAAAAAGTGAAACGCTGATCAATCTCATGTGTGAATATTACTGCAAACATCTTTAACATAAATCTAGCAAATCAAATCCAAAAGAGTATTGTTAAAATAAAGCATCAAGACCAGGAATGATTTATTTCAGTACTGAAAAAAAAGAGTTCAATATTCAGCAATCTGTTACTATAACTTATCACATCAACTGTTCAAGGAAATAAGAATCAATCAATACCCCAAATACATTTTATGAAATTCAGCAGCCATTTCTGAGAAAAACCCATAGTGAACTAGTAAAAAAAATATTTCCTCAACATGATAAAGAATAATTATCTCTGCTCAACCTCACTAATCATCAGGGAGATGCAAATCAAAACCATACTGAGTTACCACCTAACTCCAGGCAGAATGGTAATTATCAACAACTCAAAAAATAACAGCTGCTGGAGAGGGTGTGGCGAAAAGGGAACACTTCTACACTGTTGATGGGAGTGCAAACTAGTGAAACCTCTGTGGAAAGCAGTGTGGCGATTCCTAAAAGCTCTAAAAATCGACCTTCCATATGATCCTGCAATCCCCCTACTGGGAATATACCCTGAAGAACTCAAATCACTCTGTAAAAAAGATACCTGCACACGTATGTTTATCGCAGCGTTGTTCACAATAGCAAGAACCTGGAAACAACCATGCTGCCCATCAAAAGAGGACTGGATTAAAAAAATGTGGTACATATACACGATGGAATACTACGCAGCCATAAAAAAGAACAAAATCATGAACTTCGCAGCAACCTGGATGGAACTAGAGTCTATAATACTAAGTGACCTCTCACAGAAACAAAGATCCGAGTATCACATGTTCTCACTCATATAATGGACCTTGAACATCCAATGTAATACTATAAGAAAATGACTGACGGTACTGGGAAACTATGGGGGTGGGAGAGGGATGGGATTAACAGTAGCAAATATCTGCCTGGGGATGGGAAAACACCTCTTATCAACAGGGTGCCTGAATGATACGTAATTGTACACCTAACCCTTAACTGTACCCCACAAAACCATAATAACAAATATTGATAAAAAAAAAGAAAGAATAACTATCTCAAACCCTTGTGGTAAAACAATTTCCATTAAAGCCAGAAAGAAGACAAGGATGGCTATCCTCTAATCTATTATTAAGCATTGTTCTGAAAGTTCTAACAGATGCAATAAGAAAACTGAAAAAAATAAACAAGTAAATATTTAAATGAAGGAAGCAAAATGACAATTATTTGCAGATTATGTGTCTTTTCTATATACAAAACCCAAAAGAATTAACTGAGAAGATATAAGAATTTAAGTAAGAGTTCAATAAGGGGTTAGTTTAAATATATTTTATATATATATATATTTGATATATATAAAAGAATGGTTATGCTCAGAATAATATTGATATACAAATTTATATATATGAATTGATATATACATATATATCAATTTCCCTTAAATGAGAGCTATAGCCAGAAATAAATTGAATAGAGAGAAAAATTCATTTAAAGTAACAAAGTTGCAAAAAACAAATAAATTTAACAAGAATTTAGTAGGAACTATATGAAAATAACTACAAAACTTCTGATGACTATTAAAGAAGACAAATAAATAGAAGACATACCTCATTTCTGAAAAGATTTAAAATTCATTCATGCAAATATCTTGAAGCATCTACAATGTGTCAGATACTATTCTAAGTCCAGGACACTGTTCTAGGATATTGCAGTGAACCAAATGCACATTTCCCCTGTGGAGCTTACATTCTAATATATAATTATAAATTTATGAATTCTTCACCGAATTAATGTATTCATTTCATGTAGTCCTGATTAAGATCCCAAAAGGAATTTTTAAGGTAGATGGGGGTTCTTGACGAGATATTTCTAAAGTTATTTTAAATAATAAATTTACGCTGGGCATGGTGGCTCACACCTATACTTCCAGCACTTTGGGAGGCCAAGGGGAGAGGATTGCTTGAGCCCATAGGTTCAAGATCAGTCTAGGCAACATAGTGAGACTGCATCTCCACAAAAAGTTTAAAAAGATTAATCCAGCATGGTGGTGCATGCCTGTAGGCCCAGCTACTTGGGAGACTCAGGTGGAGTCTCCAACACCTGAGCCCCGGATGTTGAGGCTGTGGGGAGCTATGATTGGGCCACTGCATTCCAGCCTGGGCAACAGAGTGAGATCCTGACTTTAACAACAACAACAACTTATACAAACAGTTAAGAAGAACTGACAAATAAATAGTTAAGGGTTTTTTTCTATTAGATGATAAAACATGGGAAAGGTGTTTCTAAGCACACAATTAAAAGCAGAACACACAATGAAAAATTGCAATGGATGCAACTACCTGGAAATTAAAGAATTCTACAAGACAGAAAAATACCATGAACAAAATTAAAAGGCAAAGGAGAAACTGGAAGAAATTGCAACATATTTGACAGATAATGGGAAAACAGCCTTACTTTCTAAAGATGTGAAAACCTATAAAAAAGAGTATATTTATAGGAAAATAAGCAAAAGGATACAAATAGGCAATCTACTATAGATGGTAATATGCACTATGGACCACAGAAGGAGAAATGGGTACTCTATTGAACTGCTGTTGGGACTGCAATTTGGATCCATTTCTCTTTCTCCAGGAGAGAGAAAGAATGTTATTTGCCATTATGCATTGAAGTCTTTAAAACATGCATGTACTTCAATCCAGCAATTCTACATCTAGTAATTAATCTTAAGAAAGTAGTCATGAGTAGAATCTCAGATTTATTTACAAGTATGTTTATTACATTGCTGTTCAAAATAGCAAAAATTTGCAAACAACTTACAAGTCCAACAGAGAGAAATTGATTAACTAGCATGTATCCACCAAAAATTATGCTCTAGAAAAATACTTTTATGTGAAAAGTTAGTCAAAATATGTTGTTATTAAAATGATATGTATAATGTGATTACATCTTTGTCTGCATAATCTATATATGTTCAGAAAAAAGGACTGAACAGATATATGCTCACCAAAATATTGGTAATAGTAACTTGGAGGTTTTAAGAATACTATAGTAATTTCGGCTTCCTTTCTTGGCTATCTTCACAATTTTCAACTATAATCCTACATTAAACTTGTTGGGGGGGTATTTTTTTTTTTTTATGCTTGTTTTTTAGAGGTTGTTGGCAGAGCTGCTGAGCCCAGGAAGGTGGGTTCTTGTATAGCCCTGACTGCTCTCGACCCTTGTCTATGAAATCAGGTTGGCCTGTCTAGTGTGGGCATGGAGACACCAGCTTTCCTCCCATCTCCTGAAGTCACCTTCATTCCTCCCATTCCTGGCATCAGGGATAATTCTTCTGTGGATCTTTAATGCATAGCAACATCAGAAGCAGAGTCAGGTTCCTCTCTGGCCACTGCTGAGCTCCCCAAGGTCTGACAATGCAACCGCGCTGCTTGCTCTGTAGCCTGGCAACCAGATGCTTCTTGCTGCTCCTTCCTCTCTTCCCCACCCCACCTCTCCACCTCTGCTCCTGGAGCTCCCCAGACACCACGTACTCATGGAAGACGTTGGGAAGACTGCTTGGGAGGTGCTGGCCATGAAGTCCGCGATCTGCCGCAGAGCCCAGATGTTGGAGGAGTTGTTCCCCTTCTTCATCTGCTCCTGGATGAGGCCTTCCAGTTCCTCCCTGAAAGACTAAAGCAGGCCCCGAGGTGCTGGTCCCCCATAGCCTCTCACACAGGAGACTGAGTCCCCACCGACCCAGCTGCTGAATAATGAACTTTTCCAAGTGCCCAACCCTTGCCTCTGGGTCAGCTGAACCAGGGCCATGCTCAAGATCCCCGGCCCCAGGAGACACTGTGCAATTCCACTGGGACCCCGGGATCCTCCCCAGATTGCTGTGTGGAAAGCAACAAAGAGATGCTGGGAAAGGATCCTGTGTTCCCTTGCCTTGTGGGTGGAAATCCAGATTCCAGGCCCTTCCTGTGTATGAGATGAAGACTCCCTCCCCCCCATCAGATATGGCAAGACTTCACTTGGGTAATTAACATTTTTAAAGGCAGAACTGCATGAAAAAGAGTGCCATCTTTCCTCTCCAGTCGCCATGCCTATGGCTGCTCTGGGCCTCAGTGTCCTCATGTGCTTAATGAAAGGGTAGAAGGGAAGAGCTGAAGGACTGGTGACTTCGGAGAGCAAATTCCCTTCTGATGTCAGACTCTAAGCCTGGCTTTGCAGACCACTAGGCCATAAGCAAGGCATCCTGCCCACCAGGTGACAGCAGGAACTCAAGAGGAAATAGGGAGTTGCTAAGGCGGTGGCGAACTTATCAAAGGACAAACGGAAGCAGGAAAGTCCTCTGATCCCCATTCCCTGCCTGGGCCCCCAAATCCTGGACCGGTGCTGTTTAACTCTGCCACCTCTCCTACCCCCGTCATCCCCGGTAGTCACATTCTGGAGGTTTCCCCAGGGGCTCCTCACCCCGATGCTTTCAGCACCTGCTGTATTCCCCCAAGCTCCCCAACACCATGCCACTACACCTCAGGCCCAATCCCTGGTGTTGCTCCAAGAGGCCTGAGCATTCATCGTGCCTCTCAGCTAGGGCCACACACAGCCCACAGGTCTTGGATCCCCGGAAGCCCAGGGGGACTGAAGCAGAGCTGGGCCCACCCTTCTGAGCCCATCCTAGCAAGTGCCTGGATGCCAGTTCTGCCTCTGGGCCTCCCAACCCTTAGGGTCACGTGCTGTTTCCTGAGGCCCTCCAAGCTCTACAGCCCTTGGATGTCCCTTGCCTCCTTCACATTGATCTCCCTCTTCCCACCCAAGGGCCGGATCACCCTCCTCCCTCAAGTGGTCCTCGAGGCCCAGGCTCTGGCCTTCTCAAGGCACCACCTGCCTCAAGGAGGAGCTCTGTGCCCATGCCAGGCAGGGCCCGAAAGACCTCAAGTTGGGAGCAACAAGGGTGATTCCCAACTTACCTTTCCTTCTTCCCCCATCCCATGTCCCTGTTAAGCTGCACACTCTTCCCACACCATGAGGCTTCCAGGCCCTCCTCAACCCCACTCTATGCCTGTCAAGGCCTGATTTGTCCAGATAGTGAGGTCTTGCTTTGTGGAGTTCAGGAAAAAGATCCCCAAGCCTTCTTTGGGGCGTCCCCCTTCAAGTCTCCATTTTACATGGGTTTGTGTGTTCACTGTTACAGCTTTTGGTGAGAAGGGAGACTGGAAACCCAGGCTCAGAAGGGGCCCGAGAAACGGAGAGAGGGTCTCCTATCTCTGGGTCCCACCTCCCCCCCCACTGGGCCAAACTCCCTACACACAAACCAGGTCCTGCCATCTACCAGTGACGAGGGAGAGACTCAAACGCCTAGGTGACCAGCCGACCCTGAGCACGGGAAAGAGAGGTTGTTCGCCTTCCAAGCTCCCGCTTAGGAATCAGCGCCCGGCCCTCTCTTCCCCGCCCGCCCCCCTGAAGCCCCTCCCCGACGGGGCGGGGTCGGCCCACTCACCGGGCTCTGCAGGATCATGGTGACACGCTTCTTCTGCTCCATCAGGTTGAAGTCTTGCCGCAGGTCCGCTGCCCGATTGCGAAGGCGCATGTACTCGGGGTCGTCCTCAGAGAAGCGGTCAAAGAAGGGCTGCCCTTGGGGAGGCGGCGGGGAGGCAGCCTCGGGGACCGTCTCTTCGCTCATTTTCCTGGTGGCTTTGCAAGCCGCTCCTGGAGCCCTTCAGAGAAAGGGGCAGAAGAGGCCGGGATGTCAGCAGCTGCCCGGTCTGCCAATCTGCGGGGGGCGCCAAGGCACCATCGGACTAAATCAAAAACATGGGCTCAGCCGGGCTCGGTGGCTCAGCCTGTAACCCCACGCCTTTGGGAGGCTGAGGTGAGTGGATTGCCTGAGCCCGCGGGTTCGAGACCCGCCTGGGCAACTTGGCGAGACCTCATCTCCACAACAAATCAAAAATTAGCCGGGCGTGGTAGCGCGCGCCTGTAATCCTGGCTACTTGGAAGACTGAGGCGGGAGGATCACCAGAGCCCAGCAGGTCCAGGCTGCGGTGGCTGGGAGTGGCCGGCCACTGCACTCCAGTCTGGGCGACAGAGTGAGACTCCAATTCAAAAAAAACAACAACATGGACTCAGGTGTCCATCGCCCTTTTCTAACTGGCCAGCCTTTAACTGGTCACACGCCCCTTGGAGCAGATCGATCCCCCGGTGCAAACTTGACCTGCAGAACTTTTTTGAGCATTTCTGTGATGCATAACTACATTTCCTGGGAATCAGTACTTCATCTGAAATGACAACCCTTTAATAAGCCTCCTCAAAAATTACGGTGGGCAATTCACAAAAGAACACTACTAACTGCTAAACAGGAACTACTAAACTCACTACCCAAAGAGAATAGGAATTGCTAAAACATGGGAAGCACATTGCTCGGTGCTTTCGTTCACAATGTGGGCTTCACTTTGGCCCCGGGAAAGGAATTATTGGTGAATCTGCTTCCATAAAACATGCCTTAATGCAGAATCAGATTCTTATTCCGAGTTTAAAGTTCATTAATTTATTATTTTCTCCCAACCCCTGCTCAGTTCACATTGAGAAACAAAGACTATGGCGTGTAAGGGTGCCATGCCCCCTGGCTGCGGAAGTCCCACACACTGTCTAAACCTGATCCCTCGAGCGAGAGTCAGGGCGGCTTTTGCAGAGTCAAGTTGGGGAAAAGCCGCATATTCTTTCTCCTCAACCACGCTTTTTTAAATGCATGAATTGTGAATGAAGGTTTGTCTTCCACTGCTATATACTGGAGTCCTTCCGAGGAATGAGGCTGCAGCTCCAGCCTTCACTTCCCAGCAGTGGAGTTTGGCCAAGCAAGTCTCCCTTCGAGTGTCATCACAAGTCTGTCCTGTGCCCCTTCCGTCCTCAGGGCAGCCCCACAGGGCGTTAGCCTTCTCCCTGCTGGCTGATTCTCTTCTCAGCAAAGGAAGGCGTGTACTTTGAGCAATAATTCATTTTGAAAATACGAGGGGGCCCTCAAAAAACCAGAATTATGTTTTGGAGGGCAGGCCCCTTGTGGTACGGGTTTCCCCCAGTAGGCAAGTGTTCTAGGAACCCATCGGCATCGGTGTACCAGCTAGCGTTGTTGTGAGAGGCTGTGTTCGGCTTCGGTGAATTTTTTCTTGGAGGTTGTTTTTAACACTTTGCCCATTTCATGATGGATGATTTGCACAAACAACCTGCTCACACTGTGCTGAGTGTTCAGCAGTTTTTGACCAAAACTGGCATGACCCCCAGGTCCTCCCTATTCACCCTATCTCACCCCAGTGACTTTATTTTTGTTTCTCCAGTGAAAAAAGTCCTCAAAGGGAAACATTTTGCCAACGTGGAAGAGGTAAAACCAAAAAACGGCAGAAGCACTAAAAGGCATCAAAATCGATGAGTTCAAAAACTGTTTTGAGCAATGGAAAAAGCATCTCAATAGGTATATTGCATCAAATGGAAAGTACTTTGAAGGGGACTGAAGTTTAAACATATAAGAATAAATACATGATTTTTTATAAATAAATTCCGGATTTTATTGGATCCCCCTTGTATATATGGAGATACAAATAAAAGGGCATTAAACGGGTCCACGACACCTGGGTTCTTATCCATAACCTGCCACTCTTTGCTTTGTCCCCATGGGCTCCTATTCCATGAGGAGGTGGAGTGCTCTCTTGTTCTTTGGGAAAATGCTCCTGGTCTCCCAGATCCTATCTGTCTTTTGCCCTCAGCTGGCCAGTCCTGGCCCCAGCCTCACCCACCATTCTGGAAGGCCAGCAGCTCATTACAAAGGAGGCCTTGCTGATGGCCAGAAGAGCATGTTCTTACTGTCCCTGAGCTCCCGGTACCTATTCTTCTACGGTCAGGACTCTCCCCTCTACCTTTACAGTCTCTCTGGATGAGGTGGATGGTGGAAGATGCAATGGGTAAGATCAGAGAGGACAGTGGGGGCCCACCCTATCAGCCTAGAATACCCAGATAGTTATTGTCTGCATTCTTCCCTTGGGGGAAAGGCAAACAGGAAGTTTAAGAGAAGGTGCATGGACAGGGTCAGGTGTTGGCCTGAACCCTCAGCCTTGAGCAGTGGTTCTCAACCTTGGGTGTACATTGGAATCAGCTGGGGAACTTTAAAATCTATTGATGCCAGAGGTTCTACTATAATTAGTCTAAGATGTGGCCTGGACATCAAGATTTTCAAATGCTCCCCGGGTGATTCTAATGAGCAGCCAGGATTGAAATATCACAAGCTAGATGTTAATGGCTGTAACATGTAAGATGGCACAAAACTTCATGTGTCTAACTCTCCCGCCACGGGTTCCTCCTCCCACTCAAACCACCACCTGCCAACTTACACTTAGCCTAGAACATGCTAAATTTAGCCTAAAGTTGTGTCTTTACATATTTCAAGTGTGGCCTAAAGGTTTATCAACACATAATAAACTATAACCCAATTTGGTGTGTAAATAGACTGTAGCCGACTCTTGTAACAATCAGAGAGTCTCAGCTAATCCTACAGCCAAATTTTGGCTGATCGCAGTTGGCTGACTATTCAACCATGTTCAGATAAGGCAAACACAGAGCCATAACCAATCCAGCTGTTTCTGTACCTCACTTCTGTTTTCTGTAGGTCACTGTTCTTTTTCTGCCCATAAACATTATCTGACCATGTGGCAGCCCTGGAATGCCTCTAAAACTATTCTGGTTCTGGGGACTGCCCAATGTGAATCATTCTTTGCTTAATTAAACTCTGTTAAATTTAATTTCTCTAAAGTTTTTCTTTTAACAATCAGCAGAAGTGCTCCAAATGCCACCACAGCCTGCTTCTGCAAGGCTGCCAAGTCATGACCTCGGATCTTAATTCTTCCACTAATTAGTCATATTTTTATGAAAGCACTTACCAGATCTCTCCCAACCAACACAACCCTTACCAGTCCTGTTGATGAGATTTAGCAACAGGGATGGAGTTGGAGGTTGAGGATGAGGGAAGGAATCTGCTGGGGGTGGCAACCCCAATTTTTTTTTCCTAAAGATTGTTTTAACAGATTTGGCAAGTTGCTAGAATAGTTCTGGTGTATTTAGTAACATTTAAATCCAGACCTCTTCCTTTCATCTAAATGAAGAAAGGGTGATTGACTCTGCCTGGGATGTTTCTGGTGGAATTAGCTCTGAACTAGAAGTCAGAGACCTGCATAGGCATGGGTCTCACCTTTGTCCACCTTTGTAAAAGGGCGTGAACAGAATGACCTCTGGGGTCCCTTTGTGGAGAGCGCGGCCTGAGCCAAGATGGCGCCCGGGACCTCTGCCAAGTCCCATGATTAGGCGCATGATATACCGCCGGGCCCTCCTTCACTGCGCACCGCGCAAGTGCAACGCTGCTGAGCCTATGAACTGCTGACACGCTGGAACGGGACTTGTGGGTGGAGACCAAGGGATATAAGTACGGGACAACGGGGGAGAAGCTAGAAGAAGCTAGAAGAAGAAGAGAAGAAGCTGGCATGGTGTAAAGGCTGAATAAACCGCTTTGAGAAGAACACGTTGTTGTTGCCTCCTTCCTGCTGGTCAGGGGTGAGCGACATCCCTTTCTGCTCTGATATTATACGATTGATCTGAGTTGGAAGCAGATAGATTCATGTAGTAAAGGCAGAGGGTGGAAGACCTGGGTGTCCTAGAGCAAGAGACCTTCCCACTTCCTCCAGGGCCTCTCCCTCAAGCCAAAAGAGAAACATCGCACCTGCAAAGAACACACATGAGCAACTGACATTGGCCCTGAGGGTAAAGTCAATTCCACCATAAGGGGCTGGTTAAGAATACATTACCTCTGTCATGCCTCACCCCTGGATCTGGGGGGGTGAGAAGGGACAGCAGAGTCAAACACAATGCGACGTCATTGGTCCCCACCCAGATTCTCTGGGGCAGGCAGCACAGCAGGTCAAAATTCTTCCAGAGACAGCATCCCACCGAATTCCTCCCCTTCTCTTTTTAGTGGCTCATTGTGGCAAATTCATTACCTTCGGCACTTTCAAAGTCCTGAACCTTTCATGTTATATTTGAAACAGTAGCAAGCACAACCCCTCTCCCCTGTGAGTTCAGTGGATGTGAACTCCCTGCATCCCTAGGCCTTCAGGCCCCACCAGCTCCAGAACCACCTGAACTCAGCTTCTCGGGACTGGGATTGCTTTGGATGGCACAGCCTGGTACTGAGGCTTCCTGGCATTAAGCCCTCTCCATCCAAGCAGGAAAAGGCCGATCCTCTCCTCTTCCCTATGGAGTGGCTGTATTTCCCCAGAATGGGTCTGTGAAGGCTGTGCAGCAGCTCTTCCTGCCCTGAAGCATGAGGAACCGAGACGCTCTGGGCCTGATGGCCAGGAGTTCACACCGCCACAGCCAGGAGTTCACACCGCCACGCCCAGGGACCTGCCTTTTCTTTTTAGAGCCCAGAGGCGCTCCAACGGGGGTGGCATAGAATATGCAAGCCCTGAATCCATCACCACGACCACATGGACCTGGGCAAACCCTTTGGCTTTGTGAATCAAAGACATCTTTTTGTGTTCTTTCCTTCCCTCTCCCAAAATGCCGTGTAGATGATCAAAGTTATATCCAGCATGGCTTAGTATTAAAAGCAAAGACTCAGGAACAAGATTAATTGGATTCAAACCATAGCTATGCCACTTACTAGCTGTGCGATCTTGGGCTGCTTAACTTGTGCCTCAGTTTCCACGCATATAAAATGGGAATTCCAAGAATTTATGTCAAATGGCGGTTGTGAGGCTTAGCCAAGTTAATGTATGTGAAGCACTTGAAACAGGGCCTGGTACATAGCAAGTACTATGACCTACTTACTCTTGTTATGCATCATTTAGGGGCTAGAATCATCTTGCCATTAGGAATTCAAGTGAAGAGAGGCTTGTGTCAATTATAAACAGGTGCACACTAAATAACTGTAATTATGTGTTTTAGTCCAAAAAATTAATTCAATCTTGAACTACACTGACAAAAAGAAAAACAACCAGAAAAAGACTGAGAATGCCTCATTTTCCAACCAGATAATGAGAACATGTCAACCTGAATATCCCCAAAAAAGGAGGCTAAGCAGGATGCTGAAGATCAGAGGAGGCCAGCGTTTGTTGAGCCAGGTGTGATGTAAGAAAGAATATATCTGGTCTTGCCCCTTGTTCCTGGCACAGAGCTTCAAAAACCTTTGGAATTTCTAAAATGTCCAAAATGCAGGAGTGTCTTTTGTTGTTCATAATGAGCTTCCTTCAACCAAACCTGAGTTTGCACTAGTGAAGTGACTCATGGTGGGCCCTTAAATAGTTTCAAGGGAGGATCTGGCCACTCCAGAAAGACCAAGCACGTGAGTAGAAGGGTGCAGCTTCAGCTCTACCCCTGGCCTTCAAGAGGGGGAGAGGGGCTAGTGTCAAGTGATTTAATCAGTCATGCCTCTATAATGAAGCCCCTTGGAAAGAAGCAAACAAACAAATAGAAACTCTGGACACTGAGGCTTGGGGGAGCTTCCTGCTTGGGGAACATGCTGATGTTCTGGGAGAGTGATGTGCTGGATTCCACACGGAGAGAGGCTGACAACTCTGTGCCCCACGTCCCGGGCCCTGACCTATACATCGCTTGCATTGGAGTGTTCCCAAGTTGTATCCTTTAAAATGAAACTGTGATTAAAAGTACAGTGTTTTTAGTGAGTTCTGTGAATCATTCTAATGAATTACTGAACCTGAAGAGGGGCCATGGGAACCCCTAATTCATAGCTAAGTCAGTCAGGAGTGCGAGTGGCCTGGGGACCCCACTTGTCCTTTCACTTGTGGCAGTTAATTTGTGTGCCCTTTAGCTCAAGGTAATTTATGTCAGAATTGAATTGAACTGTAGGACAGTCAGTTGGTGACACAGAATTGGTGACATAACATCACCAGGCAACTTTTATTCATGATTTATTTTCATTCCTAGGAGGCAGATACCAATGTCCCAGATTTACAGATAAAGCAAGTGATCACAGAGATGCTAACTAATTTGCCCAAGGTCACACGGACAAGAGTGGAGTCAGGATCTCAGCCAGGTCTGTCTCTGGCCCCAGATCCTACTCCTCACCACTCCATCATATTGTCCCCGAACATCTGTTGGGCAGCCATGTGGAAGGAGGATTAGGCTGATTCCCTAGAGCTGCAGGGGCTAGAACTAGGAAGCCAGGTGTTGTTACAGACAGGCAGATTGTCACTGAGGGCATGAGGGGGAACATTCTAACAGCAGGAGCTGCTCAGTAACAGGAAGATGGAACAGGAGGCCTTGTCAGGTGGTGAGTTCTCTCTACTAGAAGTCAGAGTGACCACAGGATGCTGAAGAGGAGTTTCTGCACTTGCTGGGGCAGGGGCAGGAATGACTTCTGAGGTCCCTCAGATTCTGTGGTAGTTCTTGAGTCAGCAGGATAGGAGGAGTTCATGGCGATGACCTGAACTCGTCTTCATGCGATGGACCCCACCAAAAAGTGCCCATCACCCCCCCATCGCCACCAAAAATGACTGCTTACTTACCGGGAGGCTGGTCTGCCCTGTCCAAGTTTCTTTCCACTCAGTGCTCGGTCTGCACCCCCCAGTCCGCTCTCAGGGGCGCCAGACACATCTACACAACCTCAAACATTCAGATGGAAACTGGAAAACACAAACACAAACAAACATCAGGGCCTTGTCTGTACCACCATGATTCTTTACCCGATTTATGTTAAGGATGGCTGGGAAATTCTTTAAAATGAACTTGAAATGAATTTTTATTTTAAAGGCAAATTATGTCTATAGAAAGGTAAAGGAAGCCTCATTATCTTTAAGATTGGGATCAAAATTCCTTTTAAAGAGAGGAATTGGGAAATCCCTTTGCTGAGTGCTGGCTGGAAGAGCCTTAGAGGAAAGAGGCTGCTCTGGCCCGGTAGAGGAAGCATGAGCCTAGAGGGGTCACATGTTGCTAGACTGGAAGAGTCTCCTTTTCTGAAACCCCCAGAACACTTCACTAACAGCTACTAAACTCACAGGTGCTGATGTGAGCGATTTTTGGATGCAGCCCAAGAGGCAGATGCAGCCTGAAGAGTATCAAGCCCCACGAACATGGGAGAGTTTTAGATTTGCACAGGCTATGGATCGGTGGATTCAAGACAATTTCACCTGGAGTTCAAGGAGAAGAAAGGCCCCCAGCTAATACCTGGATAATAGGTCCTAAAGTACTACTGCAGGAGGATGATCAAATTGTTAATACCTTACAAACAAGGATGAGTTACGATGCCAAAAATCCTGGGGATCAAGGTCTTCAAAGTGTTAGTCACCAAAATGTTTCAAGGAAAAAAGAGACAAGTGATGACAAATGGTAGTTTTCCATTTTCACTTGGACACTCTGTTGTTCAGACCCAGAGCCGCTGGGGGCTGTCTCACCCAGGACTGGCAGCATCCCTGACTACCCTTTGCCCTGCCAGCCGCCAGCCATGGGTCTGGGTTCACTGGCAGCTCAGCTCCATGCCTGACCAAAGCCGTTCAGAGTACAGTCATTTGAGGAGACATGTCCCACCTATGAGGAGCAGGGAGAATTTGTTGTGGTAGGTACTGTGTGCTTGTGGGGGTCCCGGACACCTTCACACCCACTGAGGCTCAGCCTCCATCTCAACCGGGAGGCCCAGGGCTCAGCATTTCAATGTCTGGGTGGTCCCCAACTCCAGTCTTGATGCTCACCCTTCTAGTTAGGGTCTGGGAAGTTGCGTTCAAGAGCTAAGATCTGTGTTATATATATCCAGTGCCAACTGGAGTCCTCCTGCCAGTGGTTTTATTTTTAGCTAGAACAGGGTCATACCTACCACTTGATGCCACCTCTGTCCAATGCCCTTCCTTCCAGGGCTGACCCCAGAGCAGGGTTTGCTAACATATGTCCACTGTCTTCCCTAAGGATCAAACCTGCAGCTAGATAAGTTGTCTCACCTCAAGCACCAGCTTCCTCCCCTTCCCTGGGAGACCGGAAGATCAGAGGCTGCCCTGTGGCCACAGCCTGCTAAAATCTGAATTTTCAGAGTCTGGGCTACTTTTTTGTGTCCACTAATAAAATTAATCCTTTGCCCCCAGAAGTGTACTGTGCCATTCATGTAAGAAGGCAGACATCTGTCCCCCAGATAAATATACACTAAAAAAAAAACAAGTCCCAGCCGGGCTCGGTGGCTCAGCCTGTAATCCTGCGCCTTTGGGAGGCTGAGGTGAGTGGATTGCCTGAGCCTGAGGGTTCGAGACCCGCCTGGGCAGCAAGACCTCATCTCTACAGTAAATCAAAAAATCAGCCGGGCGTGGTAGTGCATGCCTGTAATTCCAGCTACTTGGAAGGCTGGGGTGGAAGGATTGCCGGAGCCCAGCAGGCGAGGCTGCGGTGGCCGGGAGCGGCCACTGCACTCCAGTGTGGGCGACCCAGTGAGACCCCAACTCAAAAACAAAAAACAAAAACAAGTCCCATTCCAAATTCCACTGATGCTGAAAGTCCACGATCAGAGCTCTATTCCTTGAGTTATGGTGATATACATCCACTGATTAAAAGGAAAACAACCCTGAGAGGTATTGGAGGCAAATGTGTTATCTGTAAACACATCATCCTATGGCAATGAAACTGTCAAATCTCTGACTGCAGAGTCTACCTGAGCAGGGCTAGAAGAGACACCAGATCTGCAAGTCTTAGTGAGGGAAAGAGAACAGAAAGAGGACTGATGCAAAGGCCAATTGAGAGGGGCCCCAGCACCTGGGACAGGGATGCTGCCCTTGGAGCCTCAAAGACCCTGACCCGAGAGAACCCTCTGAGCCTGCCCTAACTGCAAGCCCAGCATCACCCCTACTCAGCCTTTGGCTTCCCAGTACATGCTTTGAGAGCCTTGCTCCTCCAGTCTTCCATCCACCCACGGTCCTCAGGCGAACTGAGAAGCAAAACCAGTGTCAGCTGTGGTGCCCCGTGTAATGAGAACAGGTGCCTGACATCCCGCGGGTGGTTCAGAAGGCACCAAGGGTATGGCCCCACAGAGCACCCGTTCCCTGCTCTCAGTGTGCAGAAAAGCTCGGCTGCCAGGCAGGAAGAGTTAGGACATGGAAATCTAGTCTTTGTTAGCTGCCCACTAGACTGTGAACCCCGTCGAAGACATTAAAACACTCAGGGACCTTTGCCCACTGGCAGGTCCTGCAGTCAGCTTAAAATCAACCTGCAAATGCACCATCTCTTCTACTCACCCCGCACCACAGTTTCCCCCTCCCTAGCCAGCCCCACCAACCAGTCGCCCCACGACAAAGGCCTGAGAGGCAGCCTTGACCCCTCTTCTTGCCCTGCCCATTCGGTCACCAACGTCTCTGACTTAATGCCCTAAATATTTCCCCACTCGGAGCACCATGCCTGAATCATGCCTCTGTCTCTCCTTTCTTTCCTGGTTTCTGGTCCATGATCCTCTCTTGTCCATGGTCCAAACTGTCACCAAAGTTACTGGTCTAAAAATGCTACTAATCTGGCCCATGTCTGTCCTGCCCTGCTAAAACCCATCCCTGTTACCAGGGGCAGGGTTCCTTAATTTTTTTTTTTTTTTTTTTTACATTCCTGCTCTTCCAGCTAACACTTAGCTTTAGGTTCTATTACAAAAAGGGCAGGTATTCATTTCATGTTTTCCAAATATAAAATTTTAAATCTGAATTTGCTTTATCAAACCAAATGCATGCTCCATGTTAAAAATTCAAGCCCATCCACCCCTCTGTCCAGCCCCTTCTCCTTAAATGGCCACTCTGGAGGATACGGTCAAGACTCAGCCGACCCCCAGGGTCCCCTGGACTTCTCAGCACCCACCCCACCCTCCAGGTGCTATTTGCAGGACCCAAGAGGCATAGAGCAGATTCTTTATGGGTGCTGTGCCTGCTGGGAACACCCTTTCCTCTTTTTTTTTTTTTTTGAGTTGGAATCTCACTCCATTGACCAGCCTGGAATGCAGTGGCACGCTCACAGCCACCCCATCGTCAACCTGCCAGGATTCGGCGGTCCTTCCGCCTCAGCCTTCTGAGTAGCCAGAACTACAGGCGTGCGCTACCATGCCCGGCTATTTTTTATTTTATTGTAGAGATGAGGTCTCTCCAAGTTGCCCAGGCTGGTCTCAAACCCGCGGGCGCAGGCAATCCACTCACCTCGGCCTCCCAAAGTGCTGGGATGACAGGCTGAGCCACCAAGCCCAGCCTCACCCTTTCCTCTTTACCTCCTCTCTTCGGTTCAGGTATCTCACCTCCTCTCTCGGGCTCTCACATCACTTTCACTCACCTTTTCCATCCCATTTGCAACCCACTCTGTTACCCTGTGAGCTCCTAGCAGTCAGAACTGTGTCTTTGGCATTTCTGTCCCAGTTGCCACAGGGACTGGTGCTAGGTTGGTGCTGGATAAATGTTAGTTGAAACAAAACGCAACAAACAGTGAACTGGGAAGAGTTAGGCCAGCTTAACAAAGCAGCACTGTCCAGTCCTTGGGGTCCCAGAGCAAGTGAGGCCTGCAGAGAGCTCACAGCACAGTGTGAGGAGAAGGACCCCGAAGCTGCCCACTTCAGGGTCCAGTGCTGAGTGTTAATGGAGGAGTGCGAGGAGGTGCCCTTATGCCTAAATCACCTCCTCTCAAAGCGTTCTTTTGGTGTAGAACCCAGTGACCGGCCCCTCCAGTCACCCTTCTTGCCTGATTTGAAGGAGAATCCCAGCAAGTGACTGCAACTCTCACACTGTCAAATCCAACGCTCTTTAGGTGGAGATGGAGAAGGTAATATTACACATAACACATCACGCATGGCAATCCCCTCACCTCTCCCATCAGCTCTCCCAAGTTCAGTCTCGCCTCTTCTCTGCCTCTTACCTCTTCCCTAGAGCACCCACTCCCCTGCCTTGCCCGGGGGCTCCCCTCTCTGCAGAGGGGAGTCCCAGAGCTCCCTCCTAGCATGGCCAGTTCACTTCCTCACACCTCTGGTCCCTCCTCAGCAAAGCCCCTGCTCGGGACCGGCCTGATAGGACAGCAGCTAGGGATTGCAAATCATGAAACATGCTCCCTGTCACCAAGCATTTCCTTCCTTGTCCCACTGAAGACCAAGTATATGGAACCACTGGCGTATGAAACCGCATTTCTATGGATTGTTCCTTGTGGCTATCAAAGGAATGAAAGGTCTATACAGAGAGTAACAGATGCCCAAGCTGTCCGAATTTTGTTAAAATCTGCCAAAGTTCCATGTGCCTGTAGAGGCGGTAGGTGCCATCTCCTGCCACCTCAGTGGGGCATCTCCAGACAGGAGCAGACAGTTTGTGTGGCTCAGCACCCACAGCCCCAAGTGGAAAGACAGCACAAGCTGCCACAGCCACAGGCACGGCCCCTTGACAGTGCCAGCCTCTGAAAGCCCCAGGCCCTGACCCCACGGGTCAGCTCCGTGTAAGGCCTTAACTCGAAGTCAGAACCAAAACTCACCGATCTCCGAATGAGCCTCCCACAAGTGAGAGAGGAGGCGGTCATGGCTGTGCTGCTGCTACTTTGCAGAATAAAAAGAGTCATTTGAATAAAGGACTGGGCCACACCCTGCCTGGTGTGTTTAGATAAAGAGAACGCTCATGTCTCTGGGTGGTGGGATTACAGGGGAAGTTTATCATCATCTCTTCACAGGCTTCTGAATTTTCCAAAGTTCTACATTAGGTATTAACTACTGTGATCATTTAGGCCAAAAATAGTTGAAATGAAGAAAGGGAGAGGAAACAAGAGAGCAGTGGTAGAGTTTCTTTATGTCCATCCCAGAAAGCCCTTGGTTGGAAGACTCTTTTAACCCTGTGATTGCTACAGACCCAAGAAGTACTTACATCTACACATCCCTGATGCATACTTTCCTGGTGAAGTCAAGTGAATTTTTTTTTTAAATCAATTTTTTTATTTTGATTTTGTGGGGTACAGTTAAGGGTTAGGTATACAAATATGTTTCGTTCAGGCACCCTTGTTGATAAGGGATGTCTCCCGGTCCCCAGACAGATATTGACTACCGTTAATCCCACCTCCTTTCCCCTCCCCCCACCATAGTTTCCCACCACTGTCAGTCCTTTTCAAGTGAATTTTAAAAGTCTTCCAGCAAAGGACCTCAAACCCTATAGCTGCTACGCAATATTTTCCATTCTTCTACTAACCAGAGATTAGACTGCTGTGGAACAAATGGACCCAGTGTTCTTCTTACAGTCTTAGAATCTCACTAGATAAGCACAGTTATTCATCAAGTGTCTACCGGAGGCAAGAGTCTGCTCAATTAGACAACCCTTCTGATGAGTTTTGAAGGGGGCAAGAACTGGAATCGGGCGTGAGAGGGAGATAGCTGGGAGAAATGAGACATGGCCCTACTTGCTAGAGGCCCACAGTCAAGTTTGTATTCATAAAAACCATGAATGCAAATGAAACACACAAAGATATATACACATATAGGCAGATAAGCAACCCACCATAAAGGCCAACACCATACAGGGCACTGACAATGAATGCCGGGATGATCTGAAACAAATGTTTTCAGTGCTTGTTGGGATGGGAAACCAGAAATCTTGAGTCCACATCTATGAGGAACAAGGTCCTGAGTGAGATCATGAATAAAGACATTATTCAATCAACAAAAGTCATGAAACCCCAGGTGCGGGTGCCGTGCTGGGCCCTTTCTCCCAACCCTGCCATGAAGGGCCCTGCATTTTGTTTTTGATGCTACAGAAAGCTAGGTGACTTGACCCAGGCCCCAGAGCTGGTGAAGGGTTCCAGAGCCTATTCTCTTTTCACTTCACTACACTTTCCTACCCTCACTCAAATGAAGGTAAGCAGATGCCAGGGGCCTGGGAGGAAGGCGGGGAATGGAAATCAGCAAATGGCCGGAGCCCAAAGCCCAGCCTCTCCATCCCTGAGGATTCAGCCAGAACCTGAAAGGATGAGTCTGGTTCCTGTTTCTGGCACACAGGGCTTAGAGTGGAGTTCTCTCCCAGCACAGAAGATGGAGATTAGGGGGCAAGGGAGAGAGTAGGCACCCCTGACACTCACTCTGACAAGGTGAGCCATGCTTCTAGGCAAAGAGGATGATGCTGGCCCCCTCAGGAGGACAGATGAGAGAGAATGGTGGCAGCTAGCAGTGGGTCACCCCCCTATATGCCCAGGACTGCCAGTGACTGCAGTGTGGGTGCAGCCTACCTCTGGGTCCTGCTTGATCTGGACTCAAAGACAATCCTTTCACTAAATACCTGACATGGTTCACCACTGGGGACACCAGGGATGTAATTCACAATCTCTCTTCTCAAAAGGCCCACAATAGACATGGGGCTTGGGGAGATGGGGTGCTCACAGAGAGATTACAATACACCAGGGGGTTCCCAACCTCAAGGCTCCAGCACTGAGCTTTAACCCCACATCAGCTGCCTCTGCCACTGATCACAAAGTTATGCGGACTGCATGCCCTCCTGAAGGGGAAAGAAAGGGGCATTCAGGAAGCCCTGGTGATACAGAGACAATGCTGAACTAGCAGGATGGCTGGACTCAGCCTTCACATACTCAGTGCCTTCAGAGAAGAGGTCAGACAAACTTAGAGACTATGCAGATCAAAGCTCATCAGAAGAGCTGAATAATTGAGCAGACTTGTGCTCGGGTTCACTGTTCCACACCTCGGATTGTCCTGGATTCACAGTCACTTGTAAGCAGTTATCTTGTCTACCTTTTGCCTTCAGACAAGCCAATGGAGCTACATTTGGAAAAGTTTCAGCTCGATCAAGTTCAAACACAAAACAGTTGATTTTGCTTTTTGACCCAGAGAACATTTGTCCTTCAATAGGAAAATGGAGTGTGGCCCACTGGATCATGTGGCGGGACTCATCCCCACTCCCAGCCAAGAAATCAAGGAAACAGCTATTGGACGATGTGTCTTTCTGTGTCTAATAGAATAAGCCATTTCCTAGACCACAAGAGGTGGAAATAAATGGTTTTTTTAAAAAACATATTAAGGTCAAAGTTGCTTTGTTGTTGGTTTTGTTTTACTGGGTGTTTTTCCCCCATTAACTGGGCACAAGAGAAAACAAGAACATCTTGTGTCTAAGATGAGGTGAGCTCACACTATCCCTCCTCTCTTCAGACTGGGGAAGCTGTGAACATTCACAATTCCAGTGAGACTTGGCAGTACTGGCGTGAGGGAAGGAAAGGAAAGCTAGCAGGCCCAGGAAGAGGAGACAGTGGGAGCTGGAGGGAATACGTTAAGGGCAGGGTGATTTAAAGGTTCCCATGGAAAACGGCTGGCCTCCAGAAGTTCCATGTGAAGACATTCCAAAAGCCTGAGTAGTAAGACTCAGGCCATCGTAGGTATCGGGAACCAGATGATGAAAAGAGCAGGCATGCTGTTTGACTTTTTTCCACTCCTCTCCCCAGTGATTCTGAATGATTTGGATTTTATCACGGAGTTATTTTGAGGAAAGGGCTATTTCAACTTCTGTATATTTCTGCGCGTATGTTCACACATTCATGTGTCGAAGACAAGGCGATGTGCTTCCCAAGCCCACTTTCTCTTCTTCCCCTTCTTCCCATGCCTCCCAGCCCCCTTTCTGTCTGGATAGGACCACATGGAATATAAGCCAGCTGAATGTAAGCAGAGGTGATAGGCATCGCCTGTAGCCAAGGCAATTAGCAACAGAGGTGCCTTCTCCACTCTCTCTCTCCTGCCTTGCCTCTCTGCTGGATGCAGAGGACCTGCTGGAAACTCCTGGGCTCTAGGGAACGATGCAACCACCAAATGAAAGAACAGGGAAGTCCGTGAAGGCAGCCCACTGAGCATCTGATTAGAGTTTCTGAGGTTGTCGTCACAGCTGGTTGCCTACTCTGAAAAAACAGGTTCTCACCTTCTCTTTAGCTCAGTAGAGTCTTCCATTACTTCTACAGTGACTGGTTCCATTCCACTTATTAATAATCTAGATGTCTCCTTCAGGATCACCAGTTCTCCAAATGTTAAATCTTTGTTCTCTAACTTTTCTACTCACTAGTTTTATTGGTGACATTTTCCTTATATTCTGACAATTTGTCATGATTTCCCATTTCACTGATTTGAATTCAGCAAAATTAATGTGGATTTTAATTCTGATATTAAACATTTTCTCATTTTGCATACTTTCCTTGCTTTATCTCCATTTTCACCTCAGCTCTTTTCATCTTAGTCTCGTCTCTTCTTGTAACTATCCTCTCTTATTTCTTAGAAGCCATGTTTTTTTGAACTGTATATACCAAGGATATCAGTTTTCTGACATTTTTCTTCTGATTCCTATAGCAGATTATTATCGGAGGTAAATGTTTCTTTTGAGTCTTCCAGATCATTTATCTTCATCTGAAGTGTCTTTTCTCAAGACATTTGTAGTTGTTTTTCTTTTCTTTTATTCTCAAATAAGGTGAAATCATGTCCCTTAAGATACAACCTTTAGGGAAAATAGCTTTTAACAAAAGGTGATGAGAAAGTCACATGTTTTCTGGAAATCAAGTGTGGTCCACACATAATTAATAGTGACTTTTTTGATGGACAGCATGGTTGGTTCCATGATCTTGCTATTGTGAACAATGCTGCGATAAACATATGTGTGCAGGTATCTTTTTTATAGAGTGATTTGAGTTCTTTAGGGTATATTCCCAGTAGGGGGATTGTGGGGTCATATGAAAGGTCGATTTTTAGAGCTTTGGAGTTTATAATACTGAGTGATCTCTCACAGAAACAAAGATCTGAGTATCACATGTTCTCACTCATAAGTGGACCTTGAACAACCATCGTAATACTATAAGAAAAGGATTGACAGTGGCAGGAAACTATGGGGGGGCAGGGAGGGAAAGGGAGATGGGATTAACGGTAGTCAATATCTGTCTGGGGATGGGGGGCACACCTCATCAACAAGGGTAACTCCACAATGCATATTTGTATACCTAACCCTTAACTGTACCCCACAATTTTAAAATAAAAAATATGTTCCAAAATAGTGACTTTTAATACTTCCAAGCAATTTCTGCACTAACGTGACCAAAGCAATTACCTGAATGATGAGTCCACTTAAGATTAGAGATATAAAAGAAGAACTATCAAGGAAACCAGTCCAATCCCACATCCAGGTTGTAAAATGGGCACTCTTTTTATAGAAAACTTAATGTTCAGCCAAACTCATTTCTGGTGGTGGACTGATTGGGCTGTTAACATCAGACTCCAGGAAATAAATACTTAGGTGAACCCACAGAGCTTAAAATATGACCCTCTGCTCCATGACTTCCTGAGATGCTATGAAACTATTAATAAGATAGAGGAAGGAGAGAATGACAGATAAACATCCTGATAACCACTGGAGGGCTATCGAATACTGGAGACCCAGGTCAGCCTCACTTCTATGACATCTGCTTAAAAGAATGACATGGGAGGTGAGTCTCACAGATGAGCACAACAAGGAAGATCTTTCTTTGATGCAGGTCTCAGAAGTGAAGAGAGATACAAGCCCAGGTGTTGACTTGATAGAGGGGTAAAAATACAGTGAACAGTGACATCACTGAATTT